AGGAAGAACGATTTACTGACCATGCAAGCAATAAACCCAAGACTTAAATGCCTCACAGTACTCATGCTTTCTACAAAGGTATTTTACACCATAATACAGTTTTTAAAAAATATTCCACCAGGTTAAAAATGCTACTATCCAAACAAGATAAAAAAAATTGAAGTTCAATAATAAGGAACCAAATATTTAAGCGAGTGTAGTTTGAAACGATGCCTTCATTAATATTAGCCCCACACTTCTCCTCATACTTACCAATGACTCTGTTGATGTACTTTGAAGCCTGGAACATCTCCCTGGGAAATAATTTTTCAAACCAGACAGAAAATTCTTCTCAACTTCTCACTACTGACACACCATGAAGGAAATGAAGTGTTTGTAATGCTTTTATGAATTCCTGTTTAACAATAAAACATTTCATCTGCATTGTAACTGTTGACAAGCACTAAGATCAGATCTACAAGAAACACGTCATATTACCGCTATAAGTGTACAAGGAATCCCTTTGGAGCTGAATAGAGCTGGAGTTGATGATTTTCTGGACTTCATCCTTGTTGGTATTTTCCTTCAGGAACTCAGCCACAAGCCAAGGGTTAGCATTAAGATACATCTTAACGCTAGTAGGATTAAGACCTATGGTTGGGACATTCATAAGTTTGTGAGGGTGCTGTTTGTTTAGTTTCTCATTTTCTTAATAGGAAATAATGATTCCAATTTGTCTTTTTTTTTACTTTTGAAATCTCACTTGAAGTCAACACTTCATTCATTGAAATAAGGCCCCCAAAGGGACAAAGATTTGTAATAGTGACTTTAATCACTTCAATCAAAATCCATACTCATAAATAACAATTTGGTCTGCATTACATACTTCAACTTAATCTTCATTTTTCTGTATTTTGCAGAATCAAAATTTTGATGGAATCCCAACATATCGAAATGTGACTTTTCCTTGTAGGCCAAGGCCTAGATCACTTCAAAACGAAACTGGGGAAAAAAATCTGAAAATTCAACTATAAACCTTACTGCTGATCCCGCATGAGTGATTTTGCACAATAGTAGAAAGGCATTGTGGGAAGGAAAAAGGAGCAACCATAGCCCCCTTTTCCTTCCCACAATGCCTTTTTACCATGGTACCATTGTGCAAAATCACCCATGCGGTAGGCCTACCAGCAATAATTGTTGACCTAGCCTGCCTACATTTCTATGGCACGATTCTTTTTTGAAGCCTGGAGAAAAGTACGCTTAGCTCTCGCATGCTAGTAATTATAACTGTTTTGGACGGGGAAGCATTTCCAGGCACTACAGATGTCGTACGAAATATGAAAATATTATGAAATAACTACGTCTGAGTAATTTTCAATATGTAGGCCTTGGCCTAGTAAAAAATTAGGCCTAGTAACTTTTCTTTTCGTGCTTTAAAGAGGGCGCTGTTTACCGCTCACGAAATTCTAAAATTACATTGTGAGGAGTGTGATCTTTGACAAATAACGTCAAATTTGAAGGACAACATTGTCAGTTACCGATCCCAACGCATTCTCCCGATGCTCCTCTACGTCCAAATATGGATGGGGAAGAATTCCCAGGCAATGGAGGCATTCGTCGACCAGAAACCTGTTTCCACGGACTCGACATCTCGCACTGATGCTAGTGACGGTCGTACTTAGAAATGAAACTACATCTCAACGTGTAGTTGGTGAGTGGCACTTTCAACCTTCTCTCTGTGAATTTCTGGTTTTGGTTTCATTAAACATCAGAAGTATACTTAAGATAGCTAAATACTTAGTAACAAGCGATCTTACTTAAATTTTCGCCCCAATATTACTTATATTTCTGATATGATCTACACGAGATAATTCAACTTATTGTATTTTGCACTGCATGATGGGACGAATTCAGAAGTTCTGATTGGTCGAAAGTTCTTTGCGTAGGCTCGTGAACATCCCGTGCACACCTACTGCACAGTACGTGAATGACACAAGTATAAAAACAGCTTCCATTCAAGTTTGATTTATTTGCTTCAAGTATTCAGCATATTGATCACAGTGGAAGTGCTCTTGAGCACACAAGCAAAGAAAAATTACCGTATAAATTAATATAATACAATCATACAATGCTAAACTTCCGAGAAAAAGTTTCCAACAAATGTTTCGTTAGCTTGTGGCATTATTTGTAAAAAAAAAATAGAACTCTATCTGCCAAATTTCAAGCCTGCATGAATACAGATTATTGGCAAGGTATTAGATGTGTTGTGGTTTTAAGACCTTTTCCAATCTCACGCCAATACTGAACCCAGAAGTCGGCTAGGGTGCGATGAATTTTTCCAGATAAATATCCCATCCATGTACTTCATAAGGTCGACCCACAATATGACGACACATGTACTATCCTTTTTGTTCTTTTGGAAGACGACGAAATTAGTGATAAAATTGACAATACCTCACATTGAAAGAAGTACTGAAAGTACTAAACTAAACAAACAAAACGAAAACCAAAACCCAATCTGTGAATTTCAAACTTTGGAATATGTGAAAATTGGTTGGTGAATTATTCCTTTGAGGGCTTGGTTGGTAATAATCAATAAAATAGCTGAAGTATTTTCTGAAACAGTGACGCGTCACATCACGCTCTCGGTTCATCTACTACAAAAGTAACGCAAATATAGTCTGGACGGATAAAACAAAATATCAAACCATATATTTATGAGACAAGTGTCAGAGAAATCATCATGGCATATACAACAATTTACCATACTGATCGATTGTGACGATACACACGAGTAAGTAAAAAAAAGACTAACGGGACCCGCTATCTTAGGGCCATTTTATCAGCCTTAAATTACTTCAGTAGCCAAAGTATTAAGCTATTTCCCCACTTTCCCTGAAAAAAAGGATTTACTGTTGCTTTGATACATTACTGTTTTTAGAGACATAACCAGACGCTGGCCTTAAATGCACAATGATAGGCACAAATTTGAGAACAAGAAAACCAGAGACGCAACATGTTTTCAGGTTTGTAGCTATGTCTGTATTTCGCAAGATATCCTTGAAACGCACTAAAACTCGCCTCCGGCGTCTTCCTCCTCTGCTTGGGCGCTCGAGTCGACACCAACCTCCTCGTAATCCTTCTCCAAGGCTGCCAGATCCTCACGAGCCTCAGAGAACTCACCCTCCTCCATACCCTCTCCCACGTACCAGTGGACGAAGGCACGCTTGGCGTACATCAGATCGAACTTGTGATCCAGACGAGCCCAGGCCTCGGCGATGGCCGTGGTGTTGCTCAGCATGCAGACGGCACGCTGCACCTTGGCCAGATCACCGCCAGGCACGACGGTGGGTGGCTGGTAGTTGATGCCCACCTTGAAGCCAGTTGGACACCAATCAACAAACTGGATGTTGCGCTTGGTCTTGATGTGGGCAATAGCAGAATTTACGTCCTTTGGGACGACATCGCCACGGTAAAGCATGCAGCAGGCCATGTACTTGCCGTGACGAGGATCGCACTTCACCATCTGGTTGTCCGGCTCGAAGCAGGCGTTTGTGATCTCTGAAACGCTTAGCTGCTCATGGTAGGCCTTCTCAGCAGAGATGACTGGAGCATACGTAACAAGCGGAAAGTGGATACGTGGGTAGGGAACCAAGTTGGTTTGGAACTCAGTCAGGTCGACATTCAGGGCACCATCAAAGCGAAGAGACGCAGTAATGGAGGACACAATCTGACCAATCAGACGGTTAAGGTTGGCGTAAGTCGGACGCTCGATGTCTAGGTTGCGACGACAGATGTCGTAGATGGCCTCGTTGTCAACCATGAAGGCGCAGTCGGAGTGCTCCAGGGTGGTGTGGGTAGTCAGAACAGAGTTGTAGGGCTCCACGACGGCCGTGGAAATTTGAGGAGCCGGGTAGATGGCAAACTCCAGCTTGGACTTCTTGCCATAGTCGACGGAGAGACGCTCCATGAGAAGAGAGGCAAAGCCAGAGCCGGTGCCTCCACCGAAGCTGTGGAAGATTAGGAAACCTTGGAGTCCAGTACATTGGTCGGCCTGCAAAACAAAACACAAGCAATAAAAGGGGTGGTAACTGAGGTTTATGTTTGATATCATAAATTCTCCACTTTAAAGTTTACAGGCTATACAGATATGAAGAGAAAAATCGTTAAACTACTCACAAGCTTTCTGATTCTGTCTAGCACCAAGTCAATGACCGTCTTTCCTACGGTGTAGTGACCTCTGGCATAGTTGTTGGCGGCATCCTCCTTGCCTGTGATCAGCTGCTCAGGATGGAAGAGTTGGCGGTATGGACCTCTGCGCACCTCATCTGATTGGACAACATGATAAATGATTGCATGGTTAATCATTCATTGATTCATCAAACTTCAGTAATGTACCATCCACGCACATCTCTTTCGTCGTTACAAATTTACAATTATCACCTTGGCTATCGCAACAAGACTGCGCACCACCACGGCCATTACAACTGTAACTCCATTCATCTCATCCACATCATGAATTAAGATTAATATCAACCAACCACAGTCACATCACCGCTGTCCGTAGTCTGTAATCACCATCACCCTCTTCACCACTCACCAACAACAGTTGGCTCCAGGTCCATCAAAACTGCCCGAGGGACGTGCTTGCCGGCACTTGTCTCGCTGAAGAAGGTGTTGAAGGAGTCATCGCTCGAACCAACCGTCTTGTCACTGGGCATCTGACCATCAGGTTGGATGCCGTGCTCCAGGCAGTACAGCTCCCAGCATGCATTGCCCATCTGGACTCCGGCCTGGCCGACGTGGACTGAGATACATTCACGCTGTGAATTAAAAACATACCAGTAATGTGCGACTGGTGGTTGTTTGCTGCAACGCATTTGTGATAAAATCGTCAATTTTCAAACTGAAATTTAAAAAAACTCCTTTGTCAAATCCCAAATACTGAACAAGACGTCGATGAAAATAACAGTCTACTGTGTGCTTCATAGTTTATATATGGCAACTTTTCAACACTTTTTCCCCTCAAAAAAAAGATTAAAATAACACTAACAGTAATCCATTATCTCTTTCTTTGCATTATTTAATTGCTTGTTATCTGTATTTCAGTTGAATTATTAACCTCATTTCTAGACCCTATACCCCTTGAAACAAGTTCAAGAGATGCGCCATGTACATCGAACGCTTTCTGTAATACTAACTGCAGAGACACAAAAAACACAAGGCGGCATAATGAATTAATGCCGCTGGGTTGTTTACGGATCACAAAGAGCGATTCAAATATGGAATCACAGCTCTTGGTAAGGTTGGTTAGGTCTTGCCTCGGGAGCTCCTGATTTACATTTCTGATGAGACACTGGTCATGACTCATACAGACATTAATATAATGAGCGCCACAGGCACATTATTCGATGTCTGGGCTCCAGACAGTCTTGTTGCGTTTTATAGTAAAATAGCAGCACGTAAAGATGATTAATTGATTGAAAGGAATTCAGGTTGGTTTGTCAATTTCATGGGTGGTCGAATTAAAAATTTTACGATTATAATGCTTATTACAATCAATGTGCGTCTTTCCCGGGCCCTCAAAGCTTCATTGTCAAATATCTACTTTTGCTTGAAGATGTGCAAGCTTGGGATCCAATATTGTTTTGAATTTGAAAAAGACAACAAGCAAACAGAAAAACAAACTGAACAATCAGTGAACAACCTTAACACAAAGCGGAATCAACAGCCAGCAAATCGGAATAAAAAATTTAAATCAGTGAGACAAAGAAGCATAATGAAACATAAAAGCAAAGTGGACAGTACGATTATCAGAAAGAAAGTAGAACGCGATCCACATAATCTGATTGATGCTACGGAATCAGCACGTGCACGGTTCTAGGCTTAATGCGCACGTTATTTTATACATTTAACATAAAATATACCACCCTTTATTACTCATGAAGGTACATGTACATTGAAGTCGCACAAAACCCGTACATAGGGGGGAAAGAGCAAACCTCACTGGACAAATGGCCGAGATATCTACGTTTCTTCAATCTACGTGTAACCACATCGACCTGCACATGCCGTGAACTTTTGGCTCATTTAGGCTTTTCCCATATTTCTTGATCTGGAAATCTGTCCAACGACTGAGCACAGACAAGTCATTTGAGGAAAAGTCACACCCAATTATGCCAAAATTAGGCTTCAACTAAAAAATAAAATAATGGGGTTTGATAACAGTTTCAATGTGCCGTTATGCACAGCTATGCTCCTGGAAACACGCGTGAACATCCTGAAGAATCTGAATTATCTTCCATCCTCTTTTAAGGCGCGGTGTCTCCTCATTAAACACTTCAGCATTCACTGTGTCGGGGCATGCATGATGAGGTATGAGTCATGCCCGCGAACGGCTGTTTCGTGTTCTTAAGCAAAATGCCACCCACCGCAGTCAAATGAATGTGCACCGCGGCTGATGAATTAATCGTGACTTATAATCGGCCAGCACACCACGCCATTGAACCATACTGGATTCATGTTAGTGACGATTCGCTTTGTCGGGCAGTAATTATTGGAAACATGTTGTCTTTTATTAGATCTGAGGTGAAAGTATTTATTCCGCCAGATATTATCGTTTTATTATACGAATTCAGACTGCATTAGCATATTTTACCTCGCTCTGTATTTAGAAGCAGTGAATACCCTCAACAAAGTATTAAAACGCAAAGCCATGAGAATATTCTAAACACCTCCCACGTTAGAAATTCCATTTAGATAATTGAATCACGTCGGATCTTTGAATTTCTAGGTACGAAGTGATAATACCCGTAGTAAAATGTTCATATTTAATTTCATACGTTGAGTTATAAAATGAACATGTACACAATCTTCCCTACACATGGACAGTGTTTTCTGGACGCCTGTATATGGCAGTACGGATACTAATGTTCTCTAGGATGCTCGAAATGTACATATAAAGAGATTTACGATCAATGGTGTGCTTATCAAAACAAACACACGACAAACTCCACTTCCAAAAATTCACAAGAAACCCTGTATTGTTAATCAGTATCATTTAAAATTACGAAGAGCGTATTTATTGTCTTTGACAGTTTGCGATGAGCGCTTCCTCGTAAATCATTCGTGAAGATGCATGGGTATGCATGAATTAAAAGTTCATACAGGGAACGAAAAATGTCCAAAAATGGACAGAATCGTGCGTACTTCCAGGTACTCTTTTACGGGATATCAAGACAGAGGCAGAATGACTGTTTTGCAGTTATCGGAAGATTTGGCACAGGGAGGACTTAGGATTTGATTGGACTTGAGAGATGTGAGGGTAGATCTCTGCAATCAATTAATTTAAGCTTTGAAACAAATACAAACTTAATTTAAGCACTATTAGTACTGTCACTGTACAAAATTATTGCACACAATGCATACTTACCTTAGAACAATACATGCTTAGCCATGAATTACCTGATTGCAGACCGACCCAAGTACTTTTCATCAATGGTGAGAGAAGTATGAGAATGATTTCGACTATCAGTTCGTGGTTTGCAGCCAAGTGCAAAACACTTTTCTGTATGTATATAATTTTAAAGTATCTGGTCAGTTTCTGGAACCTCAGAAGGAAATAATGTACCTCAGAAGGAAATAATGACACCTTATGATTTAACCTCAAACGCAGTATACAAACACCACAAAGCAATTATCAATGCTAAGCCAACAAAAACTCACAATTCAACAGGGTTTCAAGGAACAGTGGTAAAATTTTGATGAAACAAACATGCATAATCCACCAACAATGTAAAAGGAAAAATTACATTCTTCTAGCCGTGATGAATTGTTAATGTTCGGACTAATGCAGCAGAAGAATATGCATCACGATAGAGAGGATTACCACGATTAGATACTACTGTTATTGCTTTAAAAAAATTTGTCATGGTACCGAAAAACGGAAGTTAAATTTACGCATTTATCTCAATGAAATTTGAAAAAAAAGTAACACATGTACCTGATTGTTGATTGTATTTCATAGCACGTGCATTCTCTACACAAAAAGACTCCAAAAGTGACGTCAACGGTAAAATTAATTGGTAACACTTATAATAAGTATTTAACGAGTCTAACATTTGAATTTTTTCTCTCAAGAGTACTGTACCTTTCTAGCATCGTCTTGTCGTCATATTTTAGGGTGGGGCAGTGTCTGGCAAAATCACGTGTGCCTGTAGGCAAGTTTTAGTTTTCAGAGGATTCACAAATTCAGAGCCAGTATGCTGGCCTAACTTTTAGCTGTTTATACTCACCATTTTGGATTCTTTAGCAGTCCTGTCCTCAAAATCTGGAAGATTGTGGGTGATTTGTGTTTCTGTTTTGTTCCGACAGACGTGAGACAAAGAGTTGGTGTAGCTTGCTCACACAGTCCGAGTCCTCTAAGGTAACGATGGCGAAGAGGCAAGACCGTATGGGACTCGGCAAGGAGATGCAGTCCGTCTTATACACGAGGTACGGCCTCGCCCGTGATGTACGCTATTGATCTTCCAGAGGGGTGACCTATAACCAAATTAAAAACGGACATAAGATTTGAAACTTCGAGTCAAAAATAGATGTTACCATTTCATTTGTTTGTAATTTTTGTTTTGAATCGATATCAAATAACCAGAACCGTGTTGCTTCTTCACATTTCTGGATTGAAAACCACCTGTTTTGGAAGTATTTGATATAATGAAACAGCCGCTGTCATGACGGTTGCTGACGAAGAACGTTGCATCTGTCTTTAAACCTTTATAAGGATCGTAATTCGAGATTCGGAATAATGGATTCGCTCGGAGAGAACTCTTGCGTGGAAAATCGGGACATTTCAAATGAAGCATAATAAGAACATATTCCTATTTAGAAATTATGGGGCAAAGTGTTGCTGGCTTGGTGAATAAATACCGCCCGGCTGTTGAATGTAGTTTCATTATTTCACGTATCCTACGAAAACAGTCTGCCAACAAGGGAATTTTGTATTTATAAGTTTGTGCTTATTATAATGAGTACATGTGTACGTGGCGTGCGTGATCCTCTTTATCCAATTCTGATCGTGTTTCATATATTGTATTCTTGCTGACCAGGTTGACCAACTCATCTATTATACACAAGATTGACAATTCCATTTTTAAATGAAGAAAGTTGAACCCTACTTTCAGTCCTAATGGAAGTGAAAATCCTGTAAACTTTACAAACTCGTCATAGAACATTTTGTAACATTTTGTTCTAAAATTCGCTCTGTTCAAGGAGTTTCCTAAAAGACATCTCCTAGTAGTGCCATCTTTAAGAGTAAGAGACAGCGTGTCCACTAATTTTCAGCTGTTACAGAACTCATGAAGATGTCATTCTGTAACATCATGATGATTGTAAGATGACTCATCTAGACTACTAGACTCGTCACTAGTCCCCTTCAAGCTGCGCTGCAGTGGGGTATGATTATAATGGTAACAGTGATTGTTATAAAGGAACCAGAATTTTATACGTATGCAGAAAGAAAGCATGTCGATAACGTCACAGCTGGTACTGCGGTGCTTGCTGATTTTTTGTCAAGGATGATCATTTATTTTGTCCAATCAAATTACTATCCTTGCAGATCAAGCAAAAATCGATTCAGTTTGCAATTGATGGCTAACTTGATAAAGCTCTTTTATGTTAGAGAATTTTTTTACGGTAATATCTTCATAGTTAGCAACCGAGGAAACATTATTTTGCAGACAATACGAAAAAGATTAACACTCCAAGATAGTTTATTTTGCATACGTCATCACCAAGCATTGTTGCCAAGCAGCGTCCCTAGCTACGGCATCGTTCTAATCAATTACCTCTCAAAACATCTTCAATGGGAACATGATTCTAAAATTTGAAAAATGCAGAGAGAAAAGGCCACGTCAGTTAGCTCACTTAGAGAAATTAATCTCTTGAGCCACAAGAAAACACAACTCCATTTACTTGCCAATATGCCAAGCAAACCCGTGACAAAACACCTTGGCTTCTTCCATCTTCGGAGCTCGCGATACAGAAGACACTAAGACTTGAGCAAATGTTTGTGATGTAACGATACAATCGTGAGCAAAGTGACAAAACTGTCTCATGTCCTTAGCTACCGCCTTGGGGTTGGTATAAAAGCTCATAAGTTGATGTTGATGGATCAGTGTTTGAATCTCGTCCGGCAGTTGATGTTGGACTGTGAGACTCTTGCTGTCCGTTTCCAGAGTCATTTTTATTGTTATTTTGAACAGAAATCCAAATCCAACGTCGTACAACCGGTTCTATATACTGAAGTCTGTTAATTATTACAGTGAATCGTCAAAATGGTAAGCAAATTTTCTATTACTTTCACCATAATGAAACGGGGGAGTTGAGGCAGGGCAGTCAACGCTTTAGACTTCTATTTGTTTCTTTGGACGTTCTTCTTCCCTCAACTTTCCGAGGCACCAATTTAAATCCCTTTTCAGCGTGAGTGTCTGTCCCTCCACATCGGTCAAGCTGGAGTCCAGATGGGCAATGCCTGCTGGGAGCTGTACTGCCTGGAGCACGGCATCCAACCTGATGGTCAAATGCCCAGTGACAAGACCATCGGAGGTGGTGACGACTCCTTCAATACTTTCTTCAGCGAGACAGGAGCCGGCAAGCACGTCCCTCGAGCTGTCTTTGTTGACTTAGAACCAACGGTAATAGGCAAGTCTGCTTTGAGATATTTATGCCAAAGTACAGCCACTATCCGTTTGAAGGTGTCACTCTGAAACGATGTTTTTGCCCTCACCTCATCACGGACTCTTGATGGCATGAGTACAGGTGAAAAACTGTTTCCACTATTCCGTCTCCACAACCAACAGTCAAACTGAAGATGCTTGATAACAAAGTTGAAATGAGGGAAGAGTAGGCGTGGATAAGCCCTTAATCCACCTGCACACATTCACTCCTGCAGCTATTTATCAAGTTGATCCACTTGCAAATATTGGATCATCTTCCGCGTCCGTGTAATTGCTTGGCAAACACTGATTCCACTCGGCTCGTGAAGGCTTATTGTTAACAACTGTGTAACTGTTGACGGCTACTTGTAAAATGTCCTGATAAATTAGTAAGAAAACAGAAGCAGAACACTGAGATGACAGCATGGCGACTGATTTTAATTTTTAAAAATTCAACTTTTATCAAATTAGTTGATATTTCTCTTGACAATAGCACGATCGTTTCTTCACACGTTTATTCAAATAACATCTAATTAGCAACATTCTTAATAGTAGATAACTAAGGAAAGGACAACCCCAAACAATCCTTGCTCCCTGATAAATACATTTGTCTCTTCTCTCCAAACCCATAGATGAGGTTCGTACCGGCACGTACCGCCAACTATTCAGTCCTGAACAGCTGATTACGGGCAAGGAGGACGCCGCCAACAACTATGCCAGAGGTCATTACACCGTGGGCAAAGAACTCATCGATCTTGTGCTGGATAGAATAAGAAAATTGGTAATTAACGAGCCTCATGTCAAACATGTTCGAATGAAAAGTTCTTGACAGCGAATTTGCTTATCCTAACTTAGCTATGAGGAGTCTTACAAGAAAGTTTTACTCTATATTTTCAGGCTGATTTGTGCACAGGTCTCCAGGGTTTCCTCATCTTCCACAGCTTTGGTGGAGGCACTGGCTCTGGCTTCACATCCCTGTTGATGGAGCGTCTCTCCGTCGACTATGGAAAGAAGTCCAAGTTGGAGTTCGCCATCTACCCGGCTCCTCAGATCTCCACAGCGGTCGTGGAGCCCTACAACTCCATCCTGACCACCCACACAACGCTAGAGCACTCCGACTGCGCCTTCATGGTCGACAACGAGGCCATCTATGACATTTGTCGTCGCAACCTAGACATCGAGCGTCCGACTTACACCAACCTCAACCGTCTGATTGGTCAGATTGTGTCCTCCATTACTGCGTCTCTTCGCTTTGATGGAGCTCTCAATGTCGACCTGACTGAGTTCCAGACCAACTTGGTTCCCTACCCACGTATCCACTTCCCCTTGGCCACCTATACGCCGACAATCTCTGCAGAGAAGGCCTACCATGAGCAGCTGACCGTTGCAGAGATCACTAATTCCTGCTTTGAGCCGGCCAACCAGATGGTGAAGTGCGATCCTCGTCACGGCAAGTACATGGCCTGCTGCATGCTCTACCGTGGTGATGTCGTCCCTAAAGATGTCAACGCTGCCATTGCAACCATCAAGACGAAGCGTACCATCCAGTTTGTTGATTGGTGTCCAACTGGCTTCAAGGTGGGCATCAACTACCAGCCACCCACCGTCGTACCTGGCGGTGATCTGGCCAAGGTGCAGCGTGCCGTCTGCATGCTGAGCAACACCACGGCCATCGCCGAGGCCTGGGCTCGTCTGGATCACAAGTTCGATCTGATGTACGCCAAGCGTGCCTTCGTCCACTGGTACGTGGGAGAGGGTATGGAGGAGGGCGAGTTCTCTGAGGCTCGTGAGGATCTGGCAGCCTTGGAGAAGGATTACGAGGAGGTTGGTGTTGACTCGGCTGATGGAGAGGCAGAAGGGGAGGAGATTGACGAATATTAACGCTCTTATGAACAATTAAGTTCTGGAAAGAGACGTAAAAGAATTACGTACATGTACCGTTTTTTATTAAATTGAAAGGTTAAGAGGTAAAAACAAACATCTAAAAATCCCCCTTTTTTAATTTGATTTCATAATTCACATTTCATTTGAATTAAAACCTACCGTGCATGAAATTCAATTACCAAATGCTTTCCGCATTTGGTTCTATTTATTTTGTTCTGGGCTTCTAAAACAATCAATTTTGAAACCAATTGACCTCCTTCTACCCAATTTCTCACCATTAGATTGATGAGTTGTACGATCATTTTAGTATCCTGCTTGGTACTTAGCTTCCTGTTTGACTCTTTTCTTTCGTTCATATTTTGAGTTAATTCATGCAGTGCTGTTATAGCATTTATACAGAGGTTTTAAGGCACTTTTTCGTGTGAACGTTTTTGGGCGAGTTGCGTACACGAAGCACTCTTGCGTTTCAATTTCACGGACACAAAAAAACCGAGTCCATGAGTGCACCCTGGGAGCGATTTCGACGATACGCAACGCTTGGCGCGCATGTGGAAAGGCGCCCTTACACGTCAAAATAAAGCCATAAATATCAATCATCGATAATTACATAGCAATTTGATCATTGTAATTGATCAAGAGACCATCACATTGGTGGGTTTCAGCCGTTAGTAATGCATTGTTCCGATCCACGGCATTCTGCGCTACATCGTGCAGTACATACCACGCACGCATCAATTTCCGTCAAAGGAAAGGTAAACATCAAAAATGTGCATTCAAATTTCAATACAAAATTTTTGGAAATGGTTTCCTTCTTTCTTGACTTCTGGATGCGGTTACCTGTGAAAGCTATTGCCTTCAGCTCGGACGAGTTCCTACTGTCAATCACCATTGTCATCAAATATTTACAAACTTTGGCAACAACCCCCCCCCCAAAAAAAGCCAAGACAAGCACCGCACTTGGCACTGCGTGAAAAGTTCAATACACACTTTTTTCCTCAGACTTTGGCTGTTACACGTTATTAAGATCTGCCCTGTGAACAAACTCGCAACGCAGAAGGGAAAAAGGTACCAAATTCTATTTTAAAGTGTCATGGAGAAAAAGTACATCTGACAAGTACTGAAACATCCACACATAGTACCAACAATCAAATACTTCAAGTCGTCCCCTTTTATTTAACTTTAAGTTGATGCGTCTCACAATTTTGATGAATTGCATATGTAGATTTTGTCACAATACTATGAGTGTTTCGTAGGTGTCTTGATAGTACCAATCACATCCAAAAACTGTTTCAAGCTTAAGAAATAATTGTGCGGGTTCAGCGTTCAAATCTAGGAAGCACAATCTTCAGCGATGAAATCATTCCCTTGATTTTTTAAAATAAAGGAATGTATAATGTGTACATGATAACACACAATTTCTCCAGTCAAAAGGCTTTAGACAATGACATTTTAGATTACAGATAACAGCCAATAAAATAACGGCAAATCGTCTACTTGTGTTTCTCAAATCCTTGGTTCTTTGTCTTTAAACCATTTATGTTACTATCTTTAAATTGAAAAATATATAACTCTAATGTTCATGTAGTGTATTAAATTGGGTATCAATTACAGCCCATTTGGAAAAATCCCAGTTTAGATTCCTTTCCAGGCAAATTTTTAATATTTTGCATTCAAAAGTAAATTGCTATCTTAAATTTGTTCTTATACTTTTGGTTAGAGATACTGTTGACAAATATAGAGCAGCCTTGCACATCAAAATAATACTTTTACTGTTCATAATATAATTGGCATATATCTCTATTACCGTATATATCAATATAAGTGATTTTTCTTTTCAATTATCTGTTAAGACTAACTATGAAGTAAACAATCTCTATCTTCATATGACCCCTGACCTTTGTGGATTTTAAACCAAGGTCACAGGGGTGAAATGCAATTACAGTAAACCAACACCAACCTGACCTCTCTTCACCAACCTGACCTCCTACTTCCTCTTAGGCCATTCATAGAATTGTGGCTCAAAGGACTCATAAGTGAAGTCATACATCCGGCTGCTGACAAACGTCTCCAAGTCATCTGGGCGGGGATAACGTGATGCTGCATTTGTCTCATATGCGTACTCAGCTATGCGTACAGCCAACTTGAGGGAGACCTCCCGAACTTGTTGCAAGGGAGGGTAGACACGCCCCTCTTTGAGGTGGTCATCCGTCACAAGGGAGGCCAGACACTGTGGGGTTGGGAGAAAGACAGCAGGTTTGTCGCATCAATTCATAAAGATGCATTCAGGTAAAAGGAAGTATCTTTCTAGCCTGCCACCTCAGTGGAGCATTTCTTCTTTCAGATGTGCTACGCCCGATTTGGACCACACCCAATGTCAACTCCCCTTAAAAAAAAGCTGAAAATATTCAATACCTTGGCTGCCTCCAAGAACATCTCATCAGTAATGTGCCTCACCCCAAACAGGACCACACCCAAAGCCACGCCTGGGAAGATGTAGGAATTGTTGCCCTGACCAGGATATAGAACACACCCATCTGGGAGTTTGTGTGAAGGGAAGGGGCTGCCACTTGCAAATACACACTTACCCTGAAAAGATACATTGAGGTGCTCTTAAACCATGGCAGCTTGACGTCCTTTGTCATTTGTCACACCCCTTTAAAACATTCTCAAGATGGTGTGGTGTTTCTTTACTTATATTTTGTTCAACCCTGAAGCTATTCCAATCATCTTCCATTCATCTAACACCTCTTGGAACATAAAAGCTGTCTTTTCCCAAATGTTACATGTAATGGAAAATCTACTTGTTTAACAGAGTGGAAGATTTTGAAAAGGTCTGCCTGAAATGGTGCAATGATGGTTCTAACGTTGGTATAGGTGTAGGCCTGTTCGGCAGTGCATTCTGCCTTGCTTGTGGGATTACTGAGGGCAAAGATGATTGGGCGGTCATTGAATGATGCCATGTCTTGTAAGATCTTCTCTGTGAAGACTCCTCCCACAGCTGCTGCACCTGAATAGGAGAGATAGCCCAGCTTCAGACAATGACCCACTTTATCTAAACTTTGTCACAGATTGAAATTATTACCATCAAAATTATTGCCCTGGTTATGAAAACCAAGAATCTCTCTGAAGAACTTGGACAGCCAAAAAAGACAGATAAAGAATTCCAGGGAAAAACAAGAAATCATGTATTGCCTAGATGAGATTTGAACCCACAACTAAAACAGGAATGACTCTACACTTGCTCCCATTTCAAAATCTCACTATACCAGACACCGCTATACTGAATATTTTGTGTGGACCATGTCTTATTTGCTCTAGTGGGGTTGTACGGTACCAATATGTAGGGATAACTGACTCTACACGTGCTCCGGTCTATGTGTACAGGTCACAGATTACTTCTCCTTACATCTGCTGACTCCTCTCTCTATACTTATTCCTACCGATCAGAGCTGATGGCTTGATGGACTGCACTATCTTCTCCAGGTCTTTCATGGGCTCGTGGGGGTGGGCAAACGGCTCTTTGTGGCTATCGATGCCTCCTGCTGGACGATCCTGAAATAATAATGATTGTATTCTAATGATTCTCTATCTCGGGACAGTGTCAAAATATTTGGGGATATTTTAGACAACAAAAATCTGTGACTGACCCAGGATTTCCAGAGCAACATCGATGTGCAACAAACTTTTACCTTACAGATGAGTCCCCTTGAATCCAACAGCCAGATGCGTTTTCTTGCCTCGTCTTCTGCCAAACCTTTTGCCTCCATGGCAGCAATGAGGAGGTTGGCAATGCCAATAGACGCCTGCCAAATCAAAGAGTGGCTTAGCTATTCTGAATTACAGATTTTTGCTGCTGGCTTTAGTTGTTGTGTATTTGTCATAATCTGTTCTAAACATTTTGTTTTCCTTTTGAAGAGTTTGTTGGGAAATAAGATGTCTATGTATATTGGTCTAAATTCCTACTTGAGCGTGATTCCCCCTAAACTCACCTCACCGGCTCCCTGAAATAGGAATATATTCTCCTGTAGTTTCTTGCCTGTAATTCTCAGGCTGGCCAGGATACCAGCTACAGCGACTGAAGCGGTCCCTTGGATGTCATCATTAAATGTGCAGTATCGATGACGGTATTTGGTCAGAAGTCGGAATGCATTCTTGTTGCCAAAGTCCTCAAACTGGATCAAGCAATTCTGGCCATATCTGGAGAAAAAATTGAAAAAAAGAATCAATTTTAATTTCGACAACTTTCTTTCAAGGAATGACTATCCAGAGCATTTTTTTCCAACCATTCACCAAACTTGTCTCTCCTCAGTCAACTATCAACAATCCGAATAGATTATTGGTACCTGTTAGTCACAGCCTCCATGAACTCATCAATCAATTCATCATAGGCAGAAGAACGATCTCTCTGCTCACGCAATCCAATGTACAGTGGATCATCCAGCAAGGTCTATCCGATAACAAAACAAAATTTTCAGTTTTGAAGACTAATGTACTTTCAGCTTTACACACATCACTTTTTTACAAAACTGCTTGTCAGATTGTCTGTCTAATCCTCCATACCTGGTTATTTGTTCCTACATCTAGCATGATAGGTAAACACTGTGATGGTTGGACTCCAGCAATGGCTGTATAGAGAGCTAGCTTGCCAACAGGAATACCCATACCATAGCTGCCTAGGTCCCCTAAGCCAAGAATTCGCTCCCCGTCAGTAACCACAACAGCCTACAAAAATAATAATATTGCAATGAATTGGAGGCATTAGAGAAATATTTCAGACAGTTATAAAAACTGTAACGATGCAAAATAACAAAAATTCACCTTGACATTCTGTTCTGGCCATGCAGCTAGAATATCTGCCACATGTCCTCTGTCATGTATTGTGATGAAGAGTCCTCGTGGTCGGCGATAGATGAGCCCATAACGTTGGCAAGCCAGACCGACAGTGGGTGTATAGACGATGGGCATCATTTCCTCAAGATTGTTGCAGAGTACACGGTAGAACAACTTCTCATTACGATCCTAAGTGAAAGGTAAAAATACTGAGTTATCTGATAATTCTGAGTTATCTGATATGACCAGATCCTCTTTTCAAACTTTTATGAAGTACGTACGTGTACTTATTTATTTTAGAAAATAATGTCTTTCAAAGGATTCGCAACAATGATTTGCAACCTGAATTTTTTTGGAGGTACATTTTGTACCTAGTATGTTTTTAACAGCGTTTTGCACATAAAATCTGATCATTACTTGGTAATGTTTTTTTCCGATACCATTTATCTGACTGTATTAATTTTTTTGAATAAACCTTTAGTCACATTGTATTTATTAACAATGTTTCCATTTTAGGAATTGATGAGATTTATTTCCTTCCAACAAAAGTAACTTTAGGCCTGGCTACTTTTGAAACCATGGCATTGCTATGACTGGTCCATAGTTAGAGCAACTGTGACCTACTTGTAAATCCATGAGCTGGATAAAGCGATCAAGGTCACTAAACTGACCCCTGATGTTTCGTAATGCTCGTTGTTCTTGTATCTCTGGGGTGCTAACAACAGGCGGTAGAAGGCCATGAATACCTAGAGCCTGGCGCTCATGTAACGAGAATGCTGTACCCTGAGAAAGGTTACATAATCAAGAAAACTGGTTGTAAATTATGACTTCAAAGCTCACGAGAAAGAAATACAAGAATGAAAGCACAGGCACGGAACCATGAATGATTTGTTGGGGCCTAAGCCTATTAAACTTTGAAGTAAATGATTTAGCCTTTTTACTTTGGATTCAAACGTTACATTTTTACATATCGCATGTTTCTCAAAAGTTAAATTCGTATTTCAGCATCTCATTTCAACACAGAGTTTTAAAAAAGAGGCCACGAAACTACAATTTATCACGAAAAAGATGCATGGGCACATCAATGAGAAAAAAACCTTGTTAGATCGGTTGTCTTTCAGAGTATCGGGACCCCATCGCCTTGGCCTAGAATGGACCAGTTGGTCCCGGCAGCTCTCTTCAAGATCCATGGAATCAGTCTGAAGTGACCCGAATTTCTGCCGTCTATTGTGGGCTCTGTTATCTCCATTTGTCCTGTTTAGTACCGATGACATTACAGATAGGCTCGAGCACGGGCGAGTAGGGCTACTCTTTGGTACCAAAATAGAGTTCCAACTCAAATACGGGCCGGGGCGACACGGAACAATCTGGTAGAGTGGTTCCAGTTCGGTTTATATTGACATGATGTGACTTTGAGTCTGGGTTTCAAAATCCTTATCGCCTTTCGAAAAGCTGGTTCGATTTGACGTGTCAGCAGCAGCGACTGGGTAGTACGTTATTTGGGAAGTAGCATCTGTTTTAACGTGCAAACAGGTTGCTGGATTGGTTTGCATTCTATAAATAACTTGTACTTTGATTATTTGCTCGGAGTTGGCCCTATATTATTTTGGCCTTGTCACCAAGGTCGCTGCGTAGAGCTAGAGACGGCCTGTGCCCTTTTTGGGTGTGGGGGTGAAGAGATGGGTTGCATCAAAATATATAGATCATAACCAACAATAAGAGTGACTTTTCTTTATCATTTTCAAAATCAAGATTTCATTAGTTTCGTCAACAAAAGTACCTTGTTGAAAGCGGGCGATCGCAATGCCGCCTGCCACTGCGCTAGTATTAAAGAACTCAAACTTGACTGTTCGACTTTGCGAAGTTGAGGGCGCACTGTCATTCTGCAGAGGTCGCGGTACTTCAAAAGAGACACATTCTGAAAATAAACCGAAGGAAGTATTTTTTCCCCATGTTCTGCCAGTTTGGCAGGCGGCGCTCAAGGACGTTCTTCTTTCTGGTGTTGAAATAAAGCTAATAACATTAGACACGTTAGTAGGCTATCTAAAAAGACTGAGATAAAGGCTAATGTTATTATTAACCATGTTAGTACATGCATCTAAAGAAAAAGCAGCAATATTGAAGAATTTTGCTATTTTCCTACATTAAGCTTTACATTCATAAATTTTTCACCTGTTTGAGGCAGGTGGACTATCAAGGTTAATGAACGGAGGCATAGGGCCTATCCAGGTTTTAGGTGGGGAGGGCAAAAAGTATTTTTCCCCCAAACAATAGTCTGATTATTTTTTTGCCCTTCTAAAAGAATCCTAAATCCCCTACAAATAAATGTGAAACTATCTGGCACTTTTAAATGAAAAAAGAATTTTCAGTATGTCTTCAGGATTACATTTGAATGGCAGGTTGTTTTGAGTTATCTATGGTAAACTCTCTGGTGCAAATCAGCAAATAATGTTTCACTTCGTAACTTACATCAATCATTAATTGTCTGACATCGTGCCGCTTGGGGTTGCATTAGACCAACGTAGGCTATACAATAATATTGAATATTCGTACCTTGCAAAAAGCCGGATTTCTTAAAATCGATGCTCCCCAGATCCGGGCTGAAAGAAACAAGTTTGCCATGATAGTAATGTCGAAGCAAAACAAACTAAAACTGACTTACTAAACTTCAGCGGATTCCTGGTTCATGATGATTATGGAAGTTAAAGTGCGTGCGTGTAAGGCGTCGGACGAACAGATGTGGGCGCATACGCGAACGCTTTTATATCTGTTATTTTGCATTCGGCGTGTAAGTGTCCGGGTCAAAACAGGTAAAACTGTCAATAAAATAATGTGTTGAAATAGAAGGCTTTCCGGCAAAAGAAAAAGAAAAACTAACAAACAAAACTTTTACTTACGTCAGGGGAATCTTCAGACACGGTTCATGCTCTCTGTTTGGGGGCGCCCTGTTATCACAGTACATCCACCCACCCACCCACAGGTTGGGGGTTGAAACATTTTGACAGTTCAGGACGTGCTAAAATGCAGCTGTAATTATTATCCTTTGCCTTTCTCGCACGCCTACAGCCAAATGCCGCATTGATCCCAATTTTGGGGGGCATCCTGCGACCTTCCCACGAGGTGTGTGATGGAATTTTCTGACGTGAGTGGCAAGACCACCATTGATCGTCAATCTTTCGTCAGTAAATATGCCCACATGTAAAGTTAGCGGAAAGTTTAGAAAGTTTGGTACGCCATGACCATAATTCTCCGCCCCAAGCCCCTAATGATCATAATGATTATTTCCTCTGGCGACTGTCATAAACTCCTCAAAATACATAATTGTTTGTATTTGTATTAGTTACTCTTTTGTACGTGTAATACGGGTGATTCACATAGTGCGCCTCCAAGAGTTTGCAACGCGTTGGCCAATCAAAATACGCGAAATCTATTGTGAATCCTCCCTATTACGGGTGTGGATTGTCCGTTGCTGTAGTTTTTTGACTCTGTGCAGCTGTGATTTGTCCCACTTCTTTCATGAGCAGATGGAATGCTCGCTGGCAACTCCCAGAAATCTGGTGGTCAATCATTTTCCTCAGCCCCAGCTCGAGTTGCCCGCGTGCGCAATTTGCACGCACTGTACGTCACGGCACTTAGTGGCCAATCGGAACTTACAGTAACTTATTTTTATGAATCAAGTGGGCGGAGTCACTGGTGGCAAGCCGTTCTGCAGCAATCTGTCAGCCAGTCTACTCCGGATCAGCTGGGAAAACAGACACATTCTGGTGCTCGACGACGAATTATTCGGTATAAAGTTGTCGGTTGCTGGCATAAAAGGCACCAGACAGATATAGTGCACTGCATGCACGACACGGATCCCTGGAACTTCATCGGTATCACATGCGACTTTCTGCTGGGCCAGTGATGTAGACATCACTCCGTTGAAAGACTGTTTGGAGATAAGCCGACGATTGCTGCCGCGCCCGAGACTGAATCAAATCCGGTCTGCTGAAATTATGAATCAGCTCCAGCGCTGAATGGGAGGATTGAAGGCACCTACTGAGGTTGGTTTAGATATTTTCTGCATAGAATTGTCGCATGAACAAATTATGAGCCGCAGTACATGATTTGCGAGAACTTGAACTACAACAGCGGCATGATGGTGTACATAAATGTTTTATTTATAACTATTTTGGCATCGGCGTTGGTCTCATGCTGCCATGGGAAGCCTTCGTTGCATTTGGCTGTAGAAAAATGGCACAGATTCCAACTACCCACTGCTCAGGGTACCTCACCATTGAGGGTCGAGAGCACCGTCTTGGAGGAAGAAAAGGAGGAATGGAAAGCAGACGTGGAAGACGACGATGGTGGAGAAAGTGACAGGATCATTTTATACTGCGGAGAAGAGTGCGAGGAACCGGATGAGTACAGAAATTACACCATCAAAGAAGCTGAGGACACCCTGGCGTTTGAAACTGTCTACCCCAACGGCACCAGAACGTTGACGAGACTACAAGTCCCAGAGCAAATGGTGGAGTACATTAATGGATGGATGCGCGGTGTGAAGAGACATACGGGGAAGGCAGAAGCGGTAGACGCCAAAGTTCGCAGGAAACGTGCGGTGTTTGACTTCGATACGAGGTTTGAGGTGAACGTTGCCAAGTACCTGACTGAATATCCATTCTCAGCTGCCGTCAAGTTATCCACTGGGTGTACCGGGGTGCTGGTCTCGTCCCAGCACGTGCTGACAGCTGCGCATTGTCTGCACAACGGGAAACGATATATCGTCAAAGTCAAAGATATCAAAGCTGGATTCAGACGAGAGGCGACACCAGGGGAGGATCCAAGTGAGGCGTACGAACGTTCCTTCATCTGGATCCGAGCCGATAAAGTCTACCTCCCGTATGACTGGACCAACAAGAGAAATAGTTTGCAACCCCTGGATAAGGACTATGCCGTTATTGTTCTCAAGAGAAGCCCGGACAGAGAACATCTCGAAGTCGGCATGGGTGACACGGGCAATGTTCCGGTCGGCACTATGGTTCACTTTTCGTCCTTCGATATCGCCAATCAACCCAAGTTGTTCTATCGATTCTGCACCGTGACAGGTGGCACCCAGGAGCTTTTTTACCAGCAGTGTGATGCGGAACCGCCTAGTATTGGAGCAGGGGTGTACATTAAGATATGGGACCCTGAGGCCGGCAGCTGGTCAAGGAGAGTAGTTGGCCTTTTTGGAGGGTTGACGTCGTTTATTAACGCCTTGGGTATAAGGGAGGAACAGAACGTTGCCATGCGTATCACACCGCTGAAGTTTGCTCAAATATGTTTCTGGCTGACTGGAGATTACGGCGAGTGCAAAGGATGATACTCAGTTGCTATTATTACATAGATGAAATATACATAGGCCTATCTCTGTATCATGTTAACTTGTTTACAGTGTAAAGAAATGCCAATGTCTGAGTTCTTACCCTTACGAATGTTTGGGAGTAAATACAAAAGCTTGAGGGCGATGACTGAGTAGCTCCAATTGACATCACCGTGTAAAAAGACTGGTTATCTTGGAATGCTTTGTAACGTTTCCGTTCTATGTAAATGTCATTCAAGATTGATAAAATAAGTAAAATTCTTGTTTTAATTTGTTCTATCCTACCTTCTTGAAATATGATATTTGAAGAAGTGGTAGGCTTTGGGAAAACTGGAGGCCGGTTTATTAAATCATTGAGGTACGGGACGAGTTCAAAAAATCCTATGAATGAACCAAGATTTAAAAAACGTATAGCTGGCTAAAGACAAAATGAGAATCACTGAATACAAAAGAGGACACACCTCATAAAAAACTGCTTCAAGTTCTTGTTGTGGGACAGTTTTATTCTTGTCTTGGTTCCAACCTTTTGCTGGAAGGTTCGAAAAATCGAAAAAGGAACCAATTTATAGTCCATCCGTTTGATGCTTGCATTTCCTGTAAAATCTCAAGTTCCTCTCAGTAAACATCTACTTGGCGATGCCTCATCATGCCTAGCACGAATGAAGAACACTCCTTTGGGAGGAAATTGCTCACTTTTCGTCACCGAATTTTTTTAAACAGATCTTGTTTGGGGAGTATAGTTTTCAGCGCACGTTTATGGTGGTTCACTTGTTGGCTTGTGCATACATGTACATGCACATGTACATGTAGGCTACTACTTGGTAAAGCATGTCTTTCTAGTTCAATTTCTAGAACTGTTTTCGTTAGATCCATTCATAGTTATTCTTCGGGATATTGTTCACAAATTGAGCCTGAATTGACACTCATACGCTATGCAACCTAGCGTGTATACACGTACAATAAAGTCTGTTGTTTGCTGATTTCATAGGCAGCCTATTTTGTTGAAGACCAAATTTCATACTGCCTTAAGTTACTAGCTTTGCCAGCATGCTCAAAGGATTGTATTTATGTAATTTGTGAACAGCTAAATTCTGGCTTGTGCAATTAATATTTGAAAGTGCAGTTACCCCTCCCAAGCTACAACCGTCTTACCTTTCTTCTTTAACCAATATTTGCAGTGCCAAGGAAGCATAATTAAAAGAATCCAAATTATTGCCCATGATTTTCAACAATAATCTACTTAGCTGTTTCCTGAGAAGGATTTTAACCTATAACAAATGCAGTCTTTTAAGGTGTGGACCGTAAAGGGTTATAAAGTCTGAGTATGGATTTTTGCCAACTTTCCTTAGCTGCCCGAAAGGGTTTCAACTGTCCACCGGGCCACATTGAAAAGCATTTTATAAAATACACCAACAGAGCTGCCCACCTGCTGGACCGCTTGTGATGTTCGACAGGGGACTGTTATTTACAACACCCGTAAAACCTGGCCCTGGCTTGACAAGCCGCACAGCTACTGAATCGTTCAAGGTTATGCAGAGCTTTTTAGAGTTGCTTGAAGACAATATTTTCTCTTCGTTTAGACATGGTTTGACTTTAATAAAAATCAAAATCAAAATCGTTGAATGTCCCCTGTCATCACGTGGCAGCCTGAAATGAAGTCGACTGTATATTATGTTTGCACAGTTTTCATATGATATTGTTTTTATCTCAGTGTAGATTTTATTTTAAAAAAAAAATTAACGAAATGTTTGTTTATGAACATCAAAATGGAAATAAAATACTTGTACAAACTTTTAATGTCATGGTTGAAATGAAAACACAAAGAATTGAGGCAGTTGTAGCTGCCACATTTTGGCAAATAGGTCAATGGGACATTAATATTGCTGAAGCTATGGACATTCTTGTCATAAACTTGACGTCTTGATGAATGGTACCCCAGCATGTCCCCTGTTGACACGCCCTCAACCTTTTTGAACTTTTTTATATTCTCTCTGTCACTCTCCATTCGCCCTAAAAATTGCTTTGACTTATAAATGCCCCGAGGACCCCAATTTTACTTCAGAATTCAACGGCTTGAATTTGACACAAAGCAGGCCCGAAATATCGGAAATGACCGCAAGAAACTTCCATCCAGTCGTCAGAGGGATTAGAGACAAATGCCCTTGTGATGACATTTTCCGATCAACATCCAACCTGTTCTGGAAAACTAAACAGGAGTCACTTGGGAGGAAAGCGAAGAACCCATCTGAATTATGACTTAATCAGGAAGTAAGAGGCATGAGGAGAATGTTGATACACAGCGGTCATGTAACTGAACGCCAATGTGAGCTTTTGGTTTCGGAATTTCTTGAATGTTTTGCCTCGGACACACGCAGTGAGGCGTGTCTATTGCATCATAACACACCCTGTCAAAATATTGTTTTAAGTTTGAAATTCTGGAATGTGAACTTTGCGGTTTTTGTGAGGGTTCATCCACACAGTGCTCAACATTGTAGGAATGTCTCGGTTTTGATAATAACATGTGGACTGCTGAGATTGGCGACAGGGAGCCGTAAGGGACATCAACACTGAGAAGTGACCAGAAATCATGCAAATCAAACGACGTCTTAAACATATTTTTTTAAGTATTTCTTAATTATGGAGTCATTATTTTCACTGTTACATTTTAAGTTAATTAAAAGAATGTGTATTACACCGGTGATGTCCATAATGCTAGCAAAGATCTTAGTTTTATAACCTGGATACCTGATTAGGTGAAATGAAATTACGGTATTAATGATTTACGAAAGTTATTTCCAAATTTACGGACTCATAATTATATACAATTATATAAGTAACACAATTACAAGTAACGTTGTGCATGTCGATAATTCTTATTAAGCTTTATTTTATTTTAACATAAAAATCATATAGCAATAAAGTGTTGATGGTCATCAGTTGTCATCGTTACTATTTGAGTTGCGAGTCGACAAATTTATTCAATGGAAGTCGGTTTGGTTTCATAATTTCTGGGTGTTGGTTGTTCTCTTCGAAATGCGTGACAGGCACTGTTCTCCGTCAGGTCAAAGCGTATAAGCACGATCATCAGTTTCCAAGTGACCCTCGGGCAACAAAAGCTAGCTAATATCCGCTTCGCCTTGGCCGCGTCGGGGTTGACTTGAATTCGGAAGAAAAGTAGAAAACACCCAGAAGACTCGGATTTCGTCAGTAAAAACCATCACCAAATCCCAGCTAGCGAAACCAATGATTGCTAGGGGCAAATTAACTCACTCGCTGTTTATGTTGTATCGAACACCGTGTGGGACTTTCCATGCACTGTTCACGGGGCTGTGGACGCTGTTTATCCAAACTAAAAATGCGAAGCCGGCTGAAATATCCGCCCATGCAGACGACACATAGTTTATCGAAACTAATTGCTTTTCAGTAGTACGGGTCGTAGTGTTTACATTTGAAAGCGCAGTGTAGGCACAGAAAGAGACTATAAAAAATCTTTGCTACTCAACTGAGTCTAAATTTTTATTGTGTTGTACATTCCTGAGTATTGTGTATTATGACGACGAATAACACGTTATTAAAATGGTGTAAAGTAGGCCTATTCCAGGGGCCTTGTCTTGTACCCAGAAACTCCCACATGCGATAATGATGATAAATGGGGTCAGAACAGGGTCAAAACACAGGAACAACATGCACAGCAAACTCCTCCAGGGATATTCGGCACATGTAAGCACACCCTAAGTATGTGAACTGTACACATCTACCATTAACTTCAACCGTGTTGGGTTAGTTTTTCTCGTTGGCACAATCTGGAGCTGAGTTCTTTGGTAAAAAGTCATCATTAGTATGTAGTTGCTTGCCAATTGGAACGTCCTTCCTTTGTTGAAACGAATGCGTTACATGTTGTACTGGCAATGTCTGTCTGTACTGTTCTGTCAATAGTATTCAGCATGCACAAACTGCGCGAAGGTTCACGATCAACACATCGAACTAAGACTTTACCAATGCCATATACGGGGCTAAAAGATTCCGGTAAGGTGCCTCTAAGTTCCAAATTCCATCCTCGCTAAGTGCTGTCGCATCCTTCAGCCGAATAGGTTGAAAGAGCAGCGTGGGGCGTATCAGAACCACGCTGAGGTAAATTAAGTTTGACGGTTTCGCTCTGGTTACACGCCTACGATGAGAACACTGTACGGACAGTATTGGAAAAAAATCCTGCAGCCCAGTTTCAAAACCATGATTTTGGGTTCAGGCTATTAACTTTACACTGCATATCCCAAGTAATAAGAATTCCTAGCATGTGCGATCATTGTTTCAGTGTAAGATCTAGAATGTGCACAGTCTCGATGATTGACCCAAAAGCGTCCTTACTGCTTAGTCACGGACTCATCTTCAAAGATTTTCCAAAATCTGGTAAAATCTGGTATAGAAGTAGAAACATAACTCTAGAACAGATTACAGCAACATAGAGAGGTCACATGTTGTATGCCCCACCCGTCCGCCCTTTGAACGGCAAAATAGAAAGGTGATATGACTCAATAAATGTAATCTGTTAAGTCTTCATCGTGAATGCAGCTGGCCTGCTGTGCTGGGTACAAAATTACCCCATCTGCACTGTGGGGGAGGTAACTTGTCGCTAGGAGAAACAGCTTGGAGATCTCGTTGTTCGGTTGAATGATACCACCACATACACTATTTCAAAAATTTGACATTGTAAATCTTTTGCCTCAATCGAGTTAAAATCTGTCTGCCCCTTGCTGCTCCGATTCGTGGGGTTCTACTTTAGAACAAAAAAGAGAGGCAAGAAAAATGAAATTTTATCCTGAGCCAGGGTCAACCGTTTGGATTCTGGAGTCTTTTCTGGGTCGAGTTAACCTGAGGTTGACCTGCCGAGTAATAGGACTGTTTATTCAGGCAATACTGACGGAGTATTCAGCTTGCTCTGAAAAATTACATACTTTAGCATAGAAAGCAAAATATTTGTAGGGTTAAATATTGATGGTGTCACGTCCTTCCACCTGAGTCAGTTTGGAATTATTTATGGCACATGTACAAGGGATGGTGCAGTTCTAATGCTCGGTTTTCAGTGAAAAAAGGATATTAAAGAACAATTTTTAACGAACCAGAAATTGTTTTGTCAGATATCTGTTGCAACGTCACCGCTTAATCTAGTTCCAAAACCTTCCAATTAGGAATCTTCTTGTTGTCAGATCCTGCACTTGGATCACAGGATGTCCATGGTTAAATCGAAAACATCATTGTAAATCGCAGTGGCTCAGTAAACGATTACGGATGGTGAACATCCACCCAAGGGTATCGGGGTTGAGGCAATGCTAAGACCAAGAGCGATGACGACGTCAAAAGGTAGATTTATAGGTTTCCAATATCGGTAGGAATATCTAAAGCCACGACGTAGCCACGGGGGTATAGGTTTACTGCATGGCATTGGCAGGTGCCTCTTCCCGCAAAAAACTGCTCCTATGCCCCAGTTTGAAACATCCATGGTCACAATAACTTAGGTATACCGTGCCTGAATCCACTATACATATACAAATAGAAAACAGAATTTTCGATGGTGTGGAGCCAGTTCCTTCAACAATGTCAAGATTTTACAGCCAGTGAAAGTTTCCTCGGCTCGTAAATTGTTCGCTAAAAGTGTCCAGTCAACAACTTCTCGAAGTCGTAGGATTCCTCTGAGGTCTTTGACTTCAGATTGCGTTTGGAAAAATGTTTTCCTACGCTATTGAAAGTAGTCCGTGGGATTACAAATAATTATGGGAGTGGCGTGTACAGACCTTGATGGATTTAATATGTAAACTGCCTATTCTGCAAAGCACCCGCTCTCCAAACTTCCAAAAAAGAATAAAAGAGGGTACTTTTTAATACCAAGAGGAGGTGGCTTTGGGGTATCTGATTAACTGATTGTGAAGTTAGTTGTCGGATATACTCACCATCACATTACAGTAATGGTGCTCCTACGCAGACTACATCGTTAAATTGATTAAGTCCAGCCTTCCAAAAGTACATTGGGTGAGGGAGGATCACCTGTAACCGCAGAATGCAGACAAAATCCACAGGAAACTACTCAACTTAAACCTTTCTGGGAAGATTGGAAATCAGAACACTGCTTTGGCTGAATAAACTTACCGTAAGCAGGTGTAGACACGATCCCAGTGTATCACCCGTAGCTTGTCCATTGGACATTCCTCTAATTTTGCTAAATAGCTATAAGTTCTTCTGTTCTTCTTATTTGAGCTCACGGAATATTTAATTGTGACTTCTGAGAACCTTGAGAGAACGATATGTGTTGATTATTTCCCTCATTATCACTGACCTGTTTAACTTCATGCCAAAGGAATGACATTTAGAGGAGGCTTCTGCCTCGCTATTAAACCGAATACACTGAATCGTGTATTCACTGTCATCGTTTCGACAGCTGGGCTAGGCTGCATTCTGCCGCACTGGACTTGTTTTAATCTGTACAAATCCATTAACTTTGCCTGCCCTGCAGGCCAATGGATTCTGCTCGAATCTTTCTGGATATTGAAGTTATAACTTTACCCCTTTAACTGTGATACATTGTTGGCAACGTGGAGGAATGCTCGCTTTGAACGAAGTTCGAACTAAGTTTGTTCTTGACACAAGTTACCCTCTCAGGTTTTCTTGTTTTACCTTCGATGGCTTCTGTTTTTACAATCATAATTCCAGAAAGCTGTCTTGACCCCCGTCGAAAAGAGAAAAAAAAGCCAGGAACCTTCACAGATCATATCAAATAACCTGGCCATAAAATCTGACAGAAATTGCGCATTTGGGAAACAGGCTCAACTTCTAAGCGTAGCCATTTCTTCGAAGAGCACCATAAATAGCTATTAATCTGCTTTCAGTTTCTTTTTTGTGCAAAGAATTCAATTTCAATAGCAGTCTTTGGCAATTAGACTTTTAAAAATATTTCTTACAAGTGGTGTGAAATAGCCTTGTCTAGACGCAGAACGCGAAGGTGAACCTGCTGTATAGGCCTATACAGCTATTTTCTGCACAATACCTTGTCCTTGTTTACGATTAATAATCTGTAATCGAAGCCAGTAGTATGCTAATACCTAATTTTTGTTGTTCGCTACACCCACGTTTATCTTTGCTTCTAGTGACACTGATCAATGCGACCTGTTGACATGAATGTTGAGATGACTAATTTAAACGCCATTAAAATTCAGGGCCTACCTCAACCAGGAATTCACAGTGGAAAATTCTACTGTGAACCCATCAGTGGGAGATTAATGGGTGCATGGGAGATATTTTTACATAGCATTCTTGACCCGGCTCTCGAAATTTTTCAGCAAGGATTTTGCCTCTCAGCATCTCCAGACACGTTTGGCGCCGACGATCGCAGCGTGTTGACCCGCCACAATCACAGGTAATGGTGTCCCAACGCGATGTGACCGTTCGAACTCATCTTTACACTAATAAGGCCCGTTTCAAACGTCGTGCTTATGCTGTGTCGAATAAAATTGAATTGAGCACGACGTTAGCACAGCAGTGGATTCAAACGTCGAATTTAATTCAAACTTTGAGCCCAGTCGAACTCAAATAAATGAAACATGATGGACCAGCACAACACAAAACGTGATATTGCGATCTTTCAGCCAGAGTCACAAAGAAAACGGATTTAGACTCGGCGAGAACTATTAGCATTTTATTTCTCGAAAAAGAATGGAGACCTTTTTATTCTCAAGGCCCAATGTTATAGTTCCTGGCAATCTTGCAGTGACATCTCGATGAAATAGGCCCATCACCCAGGTAAACAGTTCGATATCATTTGGGCGTCTTATTCCGGCATTTGGAGTGCAGTTTTAGTTTCAAAGGTCACCTTTGAGTTTATCTTATCTTATATCAAGCAGGAATTTGAAAGAGAAATGGTGTAACTGAAAAACCCCATCTCCCTCGAGCTCCGTCTAGCAATCTGCCCCGAGCTCCGTCTAGCAATCTCCCCCGAGCTCCGTCTAGCAATCTCCCTCGAGCTCCGTCTAGCAATCTGCCCCGTGCGTTTTGAGAAATGTCCATTTTAGTTGCCATATTTGTTGAAGCGTTTGTTTGTCGGTGATTATTTCTCAACTCTACTACATGTTGTGAACAGGCGTATTGTATTCGACTCGGCAGTAGCACGACGCTTGAAACCACACCGTGCTTCTGCGCACTTAATGATGTAAGCTCGGCAGACCCTGTCTGGCGAAAAATCCTCTGCCGTGCCGAAATCAATTTGCCGAGCCAAATTAGTTTCAAACGTCGTGCTTATGCCGTGCCGAATACGAAAATCAAGTTGAATTGTATTGCATAATCACTGGCGTTTGACATGCGTAGCGTGCAACCACAAGAAGACATAAGCAGTGTGGAGCTAAAGTACCCAGCTGTAATATCCATTTATATTTCACGCCTAAATGACAAAAACATCGATTACCGTAACAATGTTATTTTATGCGACACCAGATTACAATTTCACCAGATCATAGGGGGAATCTAAACATTGACTCCAACAATTTCTGGTCTAGCATAATTAAGTAACCAATAACCCCCTTCCCATACCATGCCGTCCCAGCTTAATTTTGCACGGTATTCCTGACAACGCAGTCAGTGGCGTAGTTAGAATTTTACTGGGGAGGGCACAAAGGGGGCACCAGCTTCTTATGGGGGAGGACACCAACTTTTAGTGGTGTGGTTTTTGGGGCAAGTTTTTGTTAGCCTTGATTAATATCCATTCATCCGGTTTTTTTTTCAGGGGGCACCGGGGGCAAGGGACCGGGTATTTTTTGGGGGGGGACACGTGCCCCCAGGCCCCCCTGTGGTTACGCCACTGAACGCAGGCATAACTGTACTTGAACATGTAACTGTTGTTATAATTTTTATGCGTAGCCATTTCAAGATGATCCACAATGCACCCCTGTTATTACCGCGCCACTTTCGCACGACTGACTGGTTGGTGTCGACCTCAAGGGCATACCAACTAACCGATGTCGAAAAAAGCAAATTACTGTATGTTAAGACAGACATCAAGTTGTTGACGTGGTCTTATTCATGGCAGAAAAAACCTGGCAACAAGTGACTCCTGCATTGTGAATTGAAAATGAAACATTCGAGAACAAGTGTTATCATTTCATGAACATGTACAGTACATTACATGTACCGGGACCGATATGGGCAAAAAAGTGTTGTCATCCAATACTGGCAGCTTGTCATCGCGTGAGAGCGCGATTCACAGGTCGTGGGGTTGCGAGCAAAGATCGTATCTAGGCGGCGCTATATCATCTTTGGTTGAGAGCACGTTTGATCGTGCGAGCACAGCCGGCCGGCCGTATGTACAGTATATGTGCAGCGAGCTCCACACGTGAGAGTCGCTATTGTTGCAGAGGAGACTAAGTAAACTGGCAGGTGTAGGCGCCCATGGACGAAGTATGTGCATGTAGACGTACTGTGCATGTACATGTATATGTACATGTACTGTACATGCGCCAGTGCACTGGAACAGTTGCAGCACGACGGCTGCACCCTCAACTAGTGTAGGCCTACACGTGAACAGTCATTCTGTTTCCAATATCTAAAGCTGCTCTGGTTGCGAGCAGCACTGGTCGTCAGTGAGGAGGAGCAGCTTTCATTGCAAGCCCTAGACAGAGCTGCCCGTAATGAGTTCAGTTTTGAAAGTGCGAAGACCGACCATGGACCGACAGACCACTGACAGACGTGATGGAAAGATCTGAAAGTAGTGTCGCTTTTATCTGACTTTGAAGCGGTAAGTCATAGACATTCAAAGACAAGATTTACGACATAAAAATTATCTCCGATATGCAGGGTCAGTTCGGTGAAAGTCGCAAAGCGTAAATTCATCCATCTGCTCGGTACTTTACTCTTGGTTGGTATTTAGTCATCTAAATGTCGTGTGTGTGTGATAACCAATTGTCAGCACGAAAGTGTGCACAAGCTTTGTTCTGGCGATATATACTGTACATGTACAGTACATGTACTGTACATGTACTGTACACATATACACGTACACATGGAGGTCAAACGGGACATATAGCACGTACATGTATAGCCACTAAATGGAGCTATAAGCCACAATAAGTAATGGGCAGTCGCATTAGGTTGTGCTTGTACACAGTTTGTGTGACTAGTCAAATTTGTGGATTTTTGTTGTCAGTTATTGTACCATCACATTCTCATGCACTTTCAGTACTACCTGCCAAGTTCAATCAATTGACGATATAGGTAACAACCATTAATCAGTTGTAACCTTGTACCCAAAATATGTAGTGGTAAAATTGACCAGTCGTGCTGACAAACTAAAAGTAGATTGCTCACTGTTACTGGTCATGGCCGTCGTTTGCATAACAACAGAGCAGTGGTCATGATATGGTGGCATAGAAGTGAATGAGCCATTTGCGATGGGAGTTCAATTTGAATGAAACCTGGTACACTGAGTTATTTGATTGCACAGAAACCTAACAATTTTATTTCCTCAGACTAAAGACGCTGTTGCTATACCTCGCGATTCGGGGTAAGCTTTTGCTCAGCCACCACCATCTCTGGAATGGACTGGTCCCTTTGTGCCCTTCTTATCCATTGAGAACAGTGTACATGTATTGGTGCCAAGTGTCTCTTATGTAACTAAGCAAAAGCTTGCCCCGAATCACGAGGTATAGCAACAGTGTTTTTAGTATGGAGAATTCAAATTGTTATGTTTACGTGAATTTAAAGAACTCAGTGTACCAGATTTTATTATTATTATTGCTGGTCTATTTAATTCGAATTTTATTCCAACTACTGACATAGTGAAACCTGCTCAATCCTTGCTGCACTTATGACAGGTAACAAAACCCCATTGCAGTAATGTATAAATACCTCTTTCACTAATTCACGCCCAGTGAACGTAGAATCCAGTATTCGGATGGATGAAAAATTACCTATCAGACCATCCTCCATTCCCATGGGACCATCATTATCCGAGTTGCAGTGTAACAGATTAAAAAGTAGTAAAAAGAAACCCTAAATGTGTGTTCTTTAGGGAACTCTTTCAGCATAGGCAATAATATTGCTTTGCTGCTACAAAGAACTGTTTCTTAGATTCTCATTCTTGGTGTGGTCAGTAAAAGGTATCCTCCATCGCCGGGAAAATATCGTGCTTCTTTAAAATGTGCTTCTTTAAAATGTTTCAAAGGGTAAAATGGAATTCATTAACGTCTGAGATTCTGCAGCTGCTGATGCTCCTGTATCTTCATCGTTGAGTCAGCAGTATGTCGTCTTCTGACGCATCCCGACAATACATGTAGAAAATTATGACAACAAAATAAATTCAAGGAGTAAAGATGCCAAAAAATAAAGCAAACAAAAAGGAGAATCTGCATGGCAATCATGCAGGCATTATCAGAAAGACTAGGTGTTGTGTAGACATGCTTGAACAAAACAGGACAAAACGGGACTATCAGACGGGAAAAAACAACAGACAATACAGTTAAGAGACGGTAACTTAAATCTTAACTACGCTACATGTGGAGTGGCTGGATGAACAGGATGACACTCACTGAATAAAGTTTTATATTATTTTTAAATGATGGAATCCTTGGAATGCGTCTCCAAGTTTCTTTAAAAATATTTCAAACATGTAGGCCTAGCTCCAAGAAGAATTAAATCTGGCACTTTTCATGAATTTTTATTTTTTTATTCACGTTCATGTATATCAAATTTAATGTGAAAAATATGGTAGACAAATGAGAAGAGATTAGCATACATAAATGGAAGTCATGCTATGATGCTTCTATAGTTACAAGATAAGCTTGATTAATAGTGCAATTTGTGTCAGACCATGCAGTTAAAAATGTATCGCATTCTGCAGTTTGGTGCGTAAAGCCTAATTCTAATGAGACGACAGTAAAATACAAATTCTCTTGCCAAAGTGCCGTTATCTAGCGATCAGCTTGGTTCATTTTCCAACACGTCTTGGTGAAATTTCCCGTGTGGAAAGTCCAAATGCGGACAGTTGTCATATTTTATCATTTTTCTTTTTCTTTTGTTTTTTTTAGCGAATTTACCGATTTTTCTGGAGAGTCAGGTTGGCGTAGGAGTCCTTTTCCTCGCCTTTCACTTTTGCGGCTCCGGTGCGATTCCCGGCTTGGTCCACACATGGATTGTTTTTAAGTCCCTACTTGATTCGTGGAGTTTTCCTCCCACCTCTAAAACGTGTCTCTACAGATGTGGGCAGATGTGGGTCATCTGTTAATCGGAACTCATTCATTAATTTGCTGTTGGAATGGACATTGGTCTATATGCCTGTGGATTTGGAATTTTGTTGGAATTTATTATTGTCTCCTCTCTTTTCTCTCACAGTCGATTGTAGTCAACATAAATTTGATCTGAAGCAGTGCAGAGAACTTCATCATCAGCAATATGACATCTGTCACGTTGCCACCGTCAGATGGAGGTATAAGGAAGGATTTACCTGTAGATCGAGGCAGGGCTTGGTTCGTGCTGGTTGGTGTTCATGTCAGTCACATGTTGAGCTTCGGTTTCTTAACCTCCTTTGGAATCCTCTACATCGAATGGAAAGAATACTTCCAAACTGATGCGACAACAACCAGTTGGTTGATAAGCTTACCTCTTTTGGTGGCTAGCCCTATGAGTAAGTTTACCAAATCAAAGAAGAAGCAAGGTGTGATATTCTGTTCATACTAGTTTTATGAAAGAATAGAAAATAATGAAGTCCTCTCCTTTTGAGAGGCCATGCTGAGAAAAAAATCAGTAAAAGGACAGTTTTATACCAGTGTATAGGCACGATCTACTTTAATCATATTAGCTCGTTTAAGAATAAAAACTGGCGAATGCTTTGAAGGTCAAACGAACAGCAAAAGCAAAAGTCAAACCATTAAGAATAAGCAAATGCTTGGATTTGTAGGAATAAAATGTTTCTCTTACTATTCAGCATCCGCTAATTTATATTAGCAGATGCTTTATGCTTGTGGCTGACTGAAGAGCCCAATGGTTTTGCACAGTGGGGCTTCCGTTGTCTTCACGTACCGACGCACACAGTGCACCACGGTGCTTTATCTTGAGACGTCAGCATGGCAGATAAGCACGATGGCAGTAATTTTGATGGCAAAAACCTTGAGGAATATTGCTCTGCCACTCTCAAATCGGTACAACTGCCTGCATCTTGTGTCTTGAGATTCCCTCCAAAAGTCATACAGCTTTTCCTTTCGAATGACATTCATGAACGCTGGCATTTTGAACATTAGTAAACGCTCCTTGTTTTCAAGCTTGCCCTTGAAAAAAGGTAAGTAAGTACTCCAATTCTGTAGAACTTACTCATTTTTATTCTTGCAGATAAAGCAACTGCTTATTATCAAGAACAAGCTTAAAGAGTAAAAAGTAAATACTTTTAGTTTTAGCAATTGCACTAAGGTAAAAACTTTCGCTTCATTATTATTCATACAAACACGAGTAAATGCTTCAAAATGGTAGTAAAAGCAAATGCTACTTTTTATTCATTCGGCCCATTATGCCCAGTCTTGTTGGTGCACAATTAGAGTTTTTTCGAAACTATATTATGATATAGACTGAGGTGTATAATACATCTAGTTCAAGTAATGCATGTAATTCATGAACAAACTTCTAAATAATAAAAATAAAGCCTGTTCTTTAATAACTGACAGAAACCTCAATTTGCTTGTATTATTATCCCTGCACATTGGACTCACAACAATCGAACATTCCTGAGACCATCTCAGCTCCCTGAGGAGGTATACTAGCCCGTTGCTACCATAATAATCGAAGTGCAAACAGCTAAACATAGTCATATCTGCCCCATAGATCTGCCCTCAAAGGTAGGTACCCATTTATTCCTGGGTGGAGGAAGAGGCACATAGAGGGTAAAGTGACTTTACCCAAGATCCTAACGTGCTGCCACCAGCTATATTTGAACTCCCGACCCTATTACAAGCGACAAACCCTTACCACTATGCCACACGCCCACGAAATAGTTCAGGAACATTCCTGTATACGTTTTTTTTTTCAAATCGATTCGCAGGTTTTTTCGTTGGTATCCTGTCATCGTTGGTAGGCATACGCGTGCTCGCCATGACTGGAGCAGCTGTCTGCGGCATTGCAACTTTTGTAGGTTCATTTACCACTGGTGTTCGGCAGTTGTTTGTGTGCACAGCCATGAATGGTAAGTTTGATTTGCCTGGAGGTTTATTTGAACACTACAGCTTAGTTGATTTAATTGTCGAGTGTTTTGTGGAGGAAAGAACATTACAATTTAGTAAACATTTTATGTGATATCTAGTCTCTGTTGAAGATTATGAACAGTGCAGTGTCTTCACTTACAGGTGTTGGTTCAGCGGTGGTACTATCTCTAGGAAGCATTGTTCTCTCCCACTACTTTAAAAGACGTTATTCACTGGCCACTGGAGTGGCCATTGTTGGGATAAGCATTGGTCAGATGATCTTCCCTGTAATAATACGTTTTCTGATTACACTCTACGGATGGAGGGGTGCTATGTTTTTGATTGGAGCCCTTCAAATGAACGGGGTTGCTGCGTGCGCCCTCTTTCGACCCCTCAAAGCCAACATGGACATAAACCAACCACATCAGGAAACATTAGGGAACAGTATTTCAATGCTTCGCCGCAGGAGAGAGAGCACAGATGATGAGATAGAGATGGAGAACTCTTGTCCCGATGAATCTCGTCTGAACAGGTGGCGTAGGTGCGCTGGATTTCTTAAAGTCTTCACCAATGTTCTAGCAATGCTGAACCTTCTTACCCTTACCTTTTTTGCAATGTCCGCCATGATCAACATCTCTCACCTGCCGGCACGAACCAAGGAGGCAGGCTGGTCAGACGATCGGAGTGCAATGATTTTATTAGTCTATGCTGTTGCTTCTGCGTTCACAAGACTAACGTATGGTTGGTTTGTAGACAGAGGCTACATTGGGTCGTTCAAGCTTCAGCTGGCCACACAGTTTGGTGCCGCCGTGGCTACATTCCTTAACCCCGTATCAGATAGCTTTGCTTTCCTGGTGGTGAACGCATTACTGCTAGGTGCGTTTCTTGGTATAACAGCACCTCTGTTTCTGGTCAACATGAGACAATTGGTGGATGTTTCAGAGCTTCCGTCAGCTTTAAGTCTGATTTGGGCTACAGGCCTCTTTTTCAACGGAGTCGGCACTGTCATTGCAGGTAGGCCCTCAACCTTATCCGTGAAAGTATTATACAAATACAGCATGGTTTCAGGGGAAGAAGTGGGAATTACTGGTCCTGAGGTGTATGTCAGCTTGACTACCTCCCAACGCGAAGCAGAGGGAAGTAGTCAAACTGACCTACACCAAGGGCTTCAATAGTCTGGTGCTGACATACGTTTTGGGGTCTTGTAATTAGGATACAACTCCAGACTGGTTCCGTTAAGATTACATGACACAGACTACATATTTAGGCGGCGGGTTCCAGAAGGATTTTTTATGCTACCAGAAAAAACTACCGCACGGCAGCGACGTGGATACTCACCGCTATGACGTTACCTGGTCCTGTATCATTTCTACTTCCCAGACGCGAGGTGGAATCGGCCAGTGATTCATGAATATTTATGAGGTGTAAACATTGAATACTTAAGAGCCTAAGTGAGGAGCTATGCTCGCTTAGAAATCACGCGATGTGCATCTTGCCGCATGTTCTACCTGTGTGTGAGCATGTTACCTTTGCAATAATGGCTTGTAATTGAGGGGTGTGTATTATTCTTGTCAACTGATGTCTTAAAAGCAACCTCCAAAAAGTACTTTTCATTTTAGAATGTGCCCTATCTAATCTAAAACGTAGAGATTACGTGATATCCGCAATGAAGCTCGTAATCATTCGTTCAAGTATGCACGAAGTTCACGTGTTTTCGTGTGCGTAGACACTAGAGTCAGTATCGCTGCCCAAGCGCCCCCAACCGTTCAGGTTTATTTTTCACATGCTTACTACAATATCTCCCGAGTAATTACCATGTGAAGAATGACTCATCTGTACTTTTGCGACTTTGGAAATTTCTTCAACATTTTTCTTTCCTTTCTGCCAAAAAACGTAGGGAAGATCTACGACGCCACAGGAAACTACGTAGCACCTTTCTTGACTGGTGGCGCCATATTTTTGGTTTCCTTCATGTTGTTAGTCACTATGACGATACTAAAGACACGAGGAAACAAGCGTTGTCAGCATCCGCAGACAGTAGCTGGCTAGGAAAACTCAGAACTCTGTGAGAAAACGGAGAAAGTAGCATTATCAAAACCTTGTAATAAACCGAATGTATAATTTTATAATACCTATTGAAATCTGTGGTTTTTGGTAGGAAATTTTGGAATGTTGCCAGTCCGTTTCACTAGTAATTACGGTACCTTTGTATTGATGAATTGTAACTATATTGTCACATGTTGGTTATTTTTATTAAAGAACTTAGTTTTGACGTTTTGTTAACTGTTGTAATTTAACTTTCTTTTGTTGTAATTTAACTTCACTCTCTTTTGGTCGCGAGAGTGAAAACAGAAACATTGAGAAATATATTATTTGTCATATACAAAATACGAATTTAGGGACAATCGGTTGCTACTTACCTCATTGATTAACGGGTCTCACTTGACAAGTCTCTTCATAGAGCCGGCTTATAATTTTTGTTTTTTTCAAAAACCTGTGTCACAATCCTCTCCGAGCGGAACAAAGTAGGGCGGGTTTTAAATGAAATTGACAGTCCTTTTGGTATTACATTAGGGGTGCATTCCACCTAATCGTTGGATTTCTGCGACCCAGCTCATTAATAATCTGTGATCTCAGGGGGTTTTTACAATAAGACGTGCCATACTCAGGAGGAATCATTGAAATATTTCTACAAATCCCGAATTTGGGACTGATAGTTAAGGGTGTTTCTTTTACAAAAAGCCCCAACCCGCGGGCCTATTTTGGATAGAGGCGGCGACTACATTCGGGGCTGAGCGCATATAGTTTTACAACTGTTTGGGGAAAGACGAATATAGAAAATCGCGTAGCTAACCCCCCTAAAATTGAAACGAAAAGTGAACTTCTGGTCATAATCTTGAATTTCCAGTGAAAAAACGGAGACCAACCTCTTCTCGGGAGTCAACAGGCGGCGCTATTTCGTTCTGATTATGATGGGCGACTATTTTGCAACTGTTGATCTCCATTTTAGGTCGAGTTCGGGCGGCCTGTTCTTCATTCACACGGGGTTCTTGTTCTCGCGCTCGAACGGAGGGAACACGACTCAAGAACACTGTTCTCGGAACAGGATCACACACCACCTCCTCGTCAGGGTTTTACAGGAACACACGGAAAAACTCGTGAGATTTTGATTTTTGAACAGCTGCCAAAAGTAGAGAGATGGCTTCCAAAGCCATAGACAATTTGACGTTTTGCAAAATTAACATGGATTATTTTCCGTAACACAGAAATGAATGTTCTTGTTATATAGAAAAGAATTCAGCCCATCCAAACATTAACTCGCGAATAACGTAGCCTACATGGACGCTTGCATGTTGCTTGTCACTAACTGCCATCGGTAACCTGTTGTTTTTTCCCGGCGTTTGAGCGGCCGACCCACGAACAACAAATCGAGCTGTTCGTGAACGTATGACAACAAGCCGCCCGAACTCGGCCTTATAGACTGGATAGGACATCGCGCATTGTTTGTGCACAAAATGCGCGGCCGAACAATGTCGGTGCTTCAGGAGGGTAATGTGATGCTGTATGCTGTGCATTTCTGGTCAACATAACCTCTTTCTCATGGGATGATGACTCAGCCGGGCTTCGGCCTCCAGGCTCCCGAAAACGAGCCAAAAATAAACAGAAAATGCAAAAATATCATTTCCAGAAATAACTGACCATTTTCTTATCAACCAACCCACTCGAAAGCGATAATTTAACCTGTTTTTGTGTGAATTCCACCAGGATATGCAATAGGTTTTGTTAGTTAATATGATGTCCGTGTGTTTTTCCGTCTGGTTTCGATGAGCCAACACTGACAAAAATCATCAATAAAATGATTTTAATTTCACACACTCTCAGAAAAATCGGCACTAAATAGAATTCATTCATATATTGAGTAAATTTTATTGAAAACCGACATGCAGCATAGCGAAGTGTGACAATCTTTTCTGTGAGCACAAAGTTAGCGCAGCTTCAAATGAGAGACCAAACTAACTTACTGCCGTTTTTAAAACAGACACTTAATCAGCTTAAAAAGTTGACTTAACAACTTGACTTAAAGTTTTACATTTAGGCCTAGCAATTACTTTCCGGCATAAAAAAAATTCAGTTTTAACTGAGAACGAATAATTTTGTTACGTAGACAAAGTTTCTTTCATTGCGTTGACTTTGAATTCCCTTGGCCTTGTTTGTAATTTCATTCAACAGAAACGTCAGCACTCTGATTCTCACTTTGATTTCAGCTCTGCCCCGAAGAAGAATTCTGTCACTCATATCACATCGTCTGTCGCACGTTTTGGGTTCAATGCGTATGCATATCCGACAAACTCAAATCATTGCTTTATTGGAGATTTTTAAGGTGAAATCTGGGGAAATAAACGACAAATTAGTCGTTCAGTTTATGAAACCACTTTTGTCAATGAGTAACATTTCAGACGGTCCCAACTTCGAGATAGTGAAGTTTCATATACAAAGCCTGATTGGCTAGATAGACTGTCATAAATCTCTTACAAGGCCTATATGGGCTGTAAGTTCATGTCTAAGCGCGCCCCTGATCAAGCAAGGTGTGGAGGATTATCAAGACCAGAGTAGGCCATCCATATCATGCATATACATGTACAAATTATATTCCTTGTCAGAGTGGACACTCAAGGACTTTCTATTGGTGTGTTTGAATGCGGGTATGGGGAAGATGCTCCCTAAGGTATGTGTGTGCAAGGTGTCTTTATTGTTTGATCAGTCAACCGAGGCTGTGGCCCATTCATAAGAGCATGTACAGGATTTAGAAGTCTTAGAGAAAGGATAGAAAAGAAACAGAATTATTCACAGACACTCTGAGGGTTGTTTATTGCATGTGGCAATTGGAAATTGTAACATGCGATATGAAAGGCGGCTCATACTACAGATGAAATCTCTATCCGGTTCGTAAGTGTGACGTCACTTCAGTTTAAACCACGCCCACTCCACTCGTGCACTCACGTAAAGTTACATGCATTGATCGCCGTTTACATGGAACCTGGAAGTCAACGCGCAACTTCAGCGATTGTCCAATGAGAGCCTGCAAATTTTAGCGCATCCGCCTTTGTGACCAAGTCACTTACGAACCGGATTCGCTTGATGGTACAGCGATTTATCGCAGTCTCTCTGCTGTCAAAACATAACAATATCATAGGGATTACAGCTTTGGGCAACTATTTGGAGCCACCTGTAAATAGGTCCAAACTTGCCTGTATGGACCGAATCGCGATTTGTAGGCTGCCAGTGTCCATTTCGTGGCACATAAAGAAGGAGGGTGGACTCTTGGAGGACCGCTTGCTTGTATTTCTGACAGTATCAGACGAAGCGTAGCCCTCCAAATCGCGCGCTCTATCGGCTCCGAGCAGAACAAAGGAGGGCGTTTTTGTTTTGTTTTGTTTTGTTTTACTTGGTTTTCAAGTTGGTACTCGCCGCAAATGCGCGGCGCGCCATGAGCGCGAGTATATGCGCGTTTGCCGCGGAGCACGCTGATTACGGGAAACTAATTTAGGCCGTTTTCCAATACTCAACGCGGGCTCCGTCTCAGGCTTCAACTGTTTTTACTTCCTAACTTTGAGGTCGTAAGCGCCATAGTAAGTCCGATAGTGCCTCAAAAGATGAAGTAAGATGCAAAAGAGCCAAACATTACAGTACTTCAACTTTAATTAAACGCTTCCGGCCCACAATCGGGGATTGGTTTCCTACACGAAGCCTGAGACGGAGACGAAGTTGAGTATTGGAAAACGGCCTTATTCCCGCATGTATGGTCTTTGCGCGCGTACACGCAGAACGCGTGCAAGAACCCGCTTGTAAACACCTGTCTTTCTTTTGCCGACTGGGGTTGCACTTCAGCTCAGGGCGGATTCTGCTATGGAGTGCAGGCATCGATTTCCAAACTGGCGACGGGCCACTGTTTTTGAGTGATGATTTTCTCTGGAGAGAAGTATTTTCATAAATTATCGGTTAATCCACTGAAAATTGAAAGGAAAATGAGGAAGTGAGCTTTCATTTGGAATGTGTCTTGAACACCTGAGATATTTGTATATTTTTGATTCGTTAAAGTGGGGATATTTATCACTGTTGCCTATACAGCTTATTTACGGGTCAGCAACTATAACCAGGTCAGTAATAAATCCACGCGCTTGTTGACGGAGCTTTCACGGTAGGCCTACTCGTGACTGACAAGTTGCTAGCGCCAAGGTCAGAGCTCTTGTGCCTGTTATATAATTTTTTTTGCTCTAGGCAGCAGTTTCACTCTAACAGTACATGTATTGTAATACGTGCAAGTCAAAGTATTAACCCTTGCATTCCTAGACTTTAGCATGTGACCCACATTAAATTTGTGTGGTGTGACCGGCACAGTCACTCCTCTGTGGGTGACATTGCTGCACTCAGCCATCTTGCTTGAATACTCCTGAATAACGGCGTGGGTAGCCTCGATGCGATGATGGTCGACCGGGGTTGGTCCTGGGCTGTGCTGGTAGGTGCACATGTCGGCGTAATGCTGACTAATGGCTATTTGACCACCCTGGGTGTATTCTATAACGAATGGAAGGATTACTTTGATGTCAATGCTACTGCTGCTAGCTGGCTGATAAGTCTACCGTGGCTGAGTGCTTGCCCGATAAGTGAGTATCCTTGGGGTAATTATTTTGTTTTTTTTCCCGGCGCATGACAAGACCAACGTCTCAAACCGATATATTATTAGGCCCTAAATTCCAGTGAGCAAATTCTGTCCAGATGAACTACTGACGGTTCATTGTATGCACAGGTTGGTTGGTTGGTGCACTAGCTACTAAGATTGGTGTGCGTCAGGTGTCAATGATTGGAGCCGTAGTTATTGCACTTGCAACAACACTGGGATCGTTGACAACCGATATCGGGCAAATGTATGTTTGCAATGCTGTAGCCGGTAAGTTCCTTTATCTCAGATGGGGCTCAGTTGTGTTACACAGACGGAAGGCTGACACAAGACTTGATAATAGGCCGAGTCACTTTGGAACCGCTTAAACAATGGACTATTACTCCAATCTGTATTGTACATCAGTAATATTATAGTCATAGCTTACCGGCCATTTTCTTGTGTAAATGTTTAGAACCGTGAAATTATCCATTAAATCAATATGGCCGATGTCGTCACGCACACTGGATTATATGTTTATTACAATCCAAATGTTTCAGAAATTATCGATTTAAAATATAATAATTGTTCAGCAACGTGGCTTTGGTTTTATTGGTGAGCTTCACGTTTGATTCATGTCCGTATGTTTGCAAAAATTGTTGCGAGAAATGACGCAGTAAGAGGCAAGTTGTGTGTGTAAATATTTTACTTCCTGTGGTGCACAATAAATTAACTGAAAACCATCCTTTATAGGATGCCACGTAGCACCTGTAGTCCTAACCACATGTAGTTGATGGGGGGTGAATCTAGTTTCGTCAACCTTTATTCGATGTATGTTATTATTTTTGACTTCGGCACAACGCAACGTTTCATAGTGTTCTTTTCCACAAGTGCCCCGCCCCCAAACAAAAAGGCGACCAAAGAGTTCTTAAAAGTCAGACTGCTTTTTAGCCTGATCTTTGTATCCGATCTCTATTAATACTTTCTTCTGTTTCCCGTTTACACAGGCATTGGCGCTGTGGCGGTAGTGTCACCGGGAGCTATCATTATTTCACAGTACTTCAAGAAGCGCTATTTTTTGGCGAATGGTATCACAATCCTTGGCTTAAATACGGGTCAGATGGTATTTCCTCCATTAATTCGCCTACTAATTTCTGCTTATGGTTGGAGGGGTGCCATGTTCATTACTGGAGCCTTTCAGTTCAATGCAGTGGCTGCTTGTGCCCTTTTCAGACCCTTCAAGACCGACTTTGACATCGACAAAGTCCAATCACCATCCCGGGCGGGGAGCGTAGAATCCCATCCGTTGCGTGATGTCGTGGAGAGTGAAAAGGAGGATAACATGTCAGAGAATGCATTGCAAGAGCAAGACGGAGGGACCAGACAGAAATGCTGGAGGTTTCTTGAGATCTTTACCAATCTTCAGGCTGTGATGATTTTGATGACGAGTTGTCTGCAATGTGTTGGTCTAGTGATGAATATAACTCATCTTCCGGCCCGAGCTAGGGAAGCTGGTTGGTCGAATACGCAAGGAGCCATGCTTGTTCTAGCGTTTGGGATTTCATCTGCATTGACCCGTTCACTTCATGGTTGGTTTGTAGGCCGAGCTTACGTTGATTCTTTCATTCTGCAGCTCACTGTCCTCCTGTGTACTACCCTGACAACATTTCTAAATCCAGTGTCAGACAGTTATGTCTTCCTGGTGTGTTACTCCGTGGCTCTAGGCACGTTTCTCGGAGTTAGTGTTCCACTTTTGATGGCCAACGTAAAGACAGTTGTCAGTACACCACAAGTTCCCACAGCATTGAGTTTGATGTGGGCTACGTTCTACCTCGGTGGAATTGGTTCGATTGTCGCTGGTAAGTCTCTTTCTCCTTACACCATAGTCAAACTCACTTTAAAATGAAGTAATGCTTATTTTGTTGAAAAACATTAATGCAAACTTTTCGGCATTTGTTTATTGTTTAGTTATTGTTATTTAAAAAGCCGCATCTTTTCTTTTAATTTTTTCCCATTCCAGAGAACGCTACATTATTCATGCGTATTAGCTAGGCGCTTTAATAAAATACGGGGAACATTGTACACATGAATATTTTGATTCTTTTTACTTGTAGGATAGCTAGTAAAAAGCTTGCAGGCACTTTGAATTGAAAAGTTGCGGCCATTTTGAATTTAAATGCTAATAGTCATTCTGGATAAAATAGAAAAGGTTCCCTCATTCTAGAAAAAAACGGACAATCAACTGATATTTTTTGCCTGACAGGATGTTGATTTTCCTCAGACATTCTTTAACTTGTAATACTGTGTTGATATTACTCTGTTCGAATTCCAGGTAAAATCTATGATGCTACAGGGGCCTACTTGGTGCCTTTCTTGGCAGCCGGTACCTTATTTCTCACAGCTTTCCTATTATTTGCCGTGGTCACAGTCAGGAAGAACCGACAAAACGCAGGACTTCAAAGACTGTAGCATTCATTCATAATGGGTTTTTTTTCACTTTAACACGCCTTTTGACAGAAGAACCCACTGAAAACAACACGAATTACAGAGCTAATTATCAAGAGCTATGCGAAGTAACTAGAGAGGACGCCCTACATGCGGCTCACGAGAGAGAAGCTCGGATACAAACTAACCACATGCGATATTGAAAGGGAGTTTTGTTTCCTCATTTCCTCTTCATGGTTAAACGACCGGAGATAATTTCAATGAGTTGATAACGATAACGGTAGACGTTCTATGTACAGGGTACATGGAAAGTTAAGTTAGATAATGTTCTAATATTATAGTCATATAAACTAAATATATTATATTATATCTAACCTTTGTTCTTACAGACTAATAAGTTTAAGATCGTACAAAACTCCCCTCCCCATGATGTGATAAGAACCAGAGCAAATATGGCGTCTAATTGGATAGACTCAGGGCAGATGGACTACTATCTGCCCTGAGCAGAAACACCCCCTTATCGGTTGAAAAGAGCCATGTCGGTCGGCAGTGTTCATTTTGTTGGTAGCGATGCGACCGTAACGGCGTATATTTCCTAGTACATTTATTGATTATTCAACTTACTTTCAAATCAGCTAGGCCTATGAACAACCTCACGTTTGCCGTAATAATTAGATTTTCAAGAATATGATAATTAATGGTGTCAAAGGCTTTGGGTTAAAATATAAGAATACACCTATTGAATAGACATTTTCTTTAAACCTTGGATTTTTTATGTACAGCCTAGTCTAGTGCCATTGATGTTGAGTATAAATTTTTATGTATTAAATATAATGTACTTAATAACAACACACATTCCTGTATCGACTTTTTGTGTGTCTTAAAAGCTGAATAAACGGGTTGGAAATTCTATTTTGCTGAAAGAAACAAAACCCTGGCTACATGCCTGTCAGAAACTTAACTTTTAAGCTGGCCTTTGATATCATAAATTCATCCTTCACAGACGTAAGTTGTACTTGACCTACGAATCTTCCATATCACCTTGGCCTCTAAAGGTGCTCCCACGTATAAAGATTATACACCCAAAACATTCTATATTGGAGGGTCCTGAGAGCCATGGAACTGGGGAATCGAAGAGATATGGCATTTAACCTCTGGCCCGGACTCAGGGCTTCCAATTCTGAGCAATTTGGATGCAATCGGGTCCGAAAGTGGCACTTTTTGAGCCATTTTGCACAGGATGCATTTTCAAAATGGCTACTTTTCTGGGCAGTGGAATTTCCTTCATTTTAGGGGTGGTCTGCTTTGGGTCAGAATTTCTCAAAAATTCGTTGGTCAGCCCTCTAAAAATTGAAAGGAAAGTGAAAGAAGACGTGTCAAACATCGTTTTTCTGTGCAGCCTGAATATCTTTGTGGGTAGTGAGTATTTTTTAAAATATTTGTGAAGAATGGGGATTTACTACTGCTGTCTATGATAATTTGTTTGATGCGGTGCACCCACTTCAACTCTGTTGAGGGTTGCACTGCACGAAATACGAGCCCATAGAAAACAGTGCAAAATCGGACCGAAATAGCGCCGCCTGTTGATTCTTGTGAAGAGGTAGGCCTCCGTTTTTTTCACTGGAAATTCAAGATTGTGGCCGGAAGATCACTTTTCGTTTCAATTTCATGAGGGTTAGCCACAAAAATATTTTTTTATTTGAATTTGAACGAATATACCCCCAAAATAGCAGTAAAACTACGCGCTCATTTCTTAATGTAGCCGCCCGCCTAATTTCAAAATAGGTCTGCAATTTGAGGCTTTTAGTGAAAGAAATACCCCAAACTGGAAACTTTCAGTCCTAAATTCGTGATTGATAGAAATATTTCTGTGATGCCTTCTGATTATAGCCTGTCTTATTGTAAATATCCCGTGGGATCACAAAATACTAAGCTCGCGCGCAGAAATACAACCATATGGTGGAATGCACCCCGAGGAATCGGAAGAGCGCCACCTTATTGACTTTCGGCAGTTTGAGGGCGCTGTTTTGCAGAAGTGAAAGAGCGCGTCGAATGGATGTTTCTTGAATCCTGAAGCTTGGCAAATTTGATCATCGAGGCTCAGCAGGACAGGTAAATAAATTTGAGTGGAAAGAGTTCTGTAGTACGCCGCCAGGATTTTCAAATATTGCCGAAATGGACTAACCCAACCAATGTCGTAGGTATAGTGTCAAGGAGCTGGTACTGGCAGTGGTAGGCACTAACGCCGGCAAAAGCCATGAAGCCTGAAAATTTGCTTGACACTTGTTGGACCATTCCTCCATTGTTGGACTGGTCACTTAGCCATTTAGCTAATCAAATAGGCCCTACACAAGGAACTTTGTTTGCTGATTTGTCAAAATAATTTTATACTAGTTTTTTCAAAAGAGATTAACCCTAACAGTCCCCAATCGTTGACTTGAAGGATTTAGGAAAGGGTATCCTTACCATGTTGAGTTTTTCCAGTAATGGAATTTACATATACAATATTCTTCATGTGCTTGTCATCACTACTCAGTATGTTCGCATCAGGATCACTAAACAACACTCCATTTGAGTGTAAGACACTCCAGCACTACCTGATCAATAGCACCTTCAAAAGGGTGCCCTCCAATTCTACCTCCATGGAGGGTGACATTCCAGCCATGATGGACAGCATCCACCAGAGAGATGATGAAGGCCTACAGCAGGCGGGAATTTCCAGCAAACTTGTACCTAGTGTGAAATCCGATATACGGTCCAATTTGGAAATATACAACAAGGACAGGTACCAGACCAGCTTGGATTCTTGTTCAAGGGACATCTGTGGTCATACAACTTGCAAAGTAAGATTCAGTGTAAGGATAAACTTTCAAACTACAAAGGTGTACCTAAAAATGAGGCACTGTCAGTTTTGTTTTTTGGTTATTTTTTGTATCATTCAGAATTACAAATATAACACAATTTTTGGGGAGATGGGTCAATGAGAAAGTGATATCAATCTTTCAGGAACTGCTCTAAAAGACAAGGGAATAAAGCGTTTTTTTTAAGCCAAATTTACGGATTTGATGCTCTAAGATGAGAAGATGTGGCCTTTAGGCATATCTGCCCATTTAGGTTTAACAAGTCAACCCTTCCACCATTAGGACACTTGCCTGTACCAGACATACAGATCATCCGAAAGACTTGAAGTAGACAGAGACAGCACCTCTTGCCAGGAGAGAGAACTTCATCAGGGTCACTCCCCCTTGACTGGCATTCAGGAGGAGTGTCAGTGGAATGATTTGTTGATGAATTCACCAGCAGATACACAGAGAGACCTAAATCCACAACATACAGAAGAGGAGGATGCACTCCTTGGAATTGGTGCGTCTGGTTGTTTCTTGGTATTCATCTTAGCTCAAAACATCTTCACAAGGATGCTTTGTATGTCTTCCAAAATTGTACCTGTGGGTACATTCTGTTTACTTTAACATTCTGTGGGTATTAAATAATAGAGTCTTTTGGAATCCAACGTATGATCTTCACATCATCTGGTGGATTCCAGTGGATTCAGGAGGGCTAGGTGGTTAAGTTTGAATTCACTCAAATAGTAACATTTTTCAGGAAAATCCGCTCTTCAGTCTTAAATTTATTTCTTTTCAGTTCTTGTGTTTGCATGTTTTGTTTAATGTTAATTAAATTTTTAATTAATTAATTTATTAAATATCAGGAATTTTACATGCCTAAGTTTTGGCTTTCAGTTAGCAGCCATAAAAAGAAACTCAGTGTTGTTTTGGCATTCCTAGCTGTTTTATTCTCATTTCAATAAGTCTTATTTCTTTTCCTCTCTTCAGACTATAGTCTGAGGCAGTCTGTAGAGGCAGAGATTGAAGCATTTAGAATCAACCTTCATAATTTCATATCTGACCACCACCAGCAGTATCGACAAGTACTATTGCATGGCATTGATCCAATTACAACACAGGTATGATTAGAGCCAGGTTATATTTCAGCTTTCACATCAGTGAGGATTCAAAATGGTATAATGAATTGAATCTTAACAGATGGTAAACATTTAGTAGCTGATAAGTTCCATTTCACATTCACCCGAAGGGAAAATTTGTGTTTCATTTCAGAACTCCGTTTGTGATCATACTGTGATTGGGAGAACTAACTATGAATGGTCTCAAACAAACTCCTCTGCACAGTGCCACATGTAAGTAAAGAATATAAATAAGGAAATACTTCCATTTTGTAGATTTCTCTTGTATCCCTCTCCAATGGACCTAGGTATTTCCTCAACTATTCCTCCTAATTTCTTTACACCAAAATATCTCAAACTTTTTCCTTATTTTTTAATATGTTCATTCACCAATTGCTCTGTGGTAGAGATTTCTTTGAAACAAATTTATTCTGAAGTGTGAAAATTAGGAAAAAAGTGAATTGTAAAACCTTAACTTGCCACAGATATGATTAGAGCAGTGAGGCCTGAGCTGGACCGAGAGAGGGTGTAATTTTCCTAGCAATGGATGTTCCTTTGGTCAGAACTGCTCTTTGCTGGTTCACAAACAACTATGAAATACACGCATTACCGTCTTGTCGCTACCAGCAAAATGAACACTCCCCGTCCCGACCAACATGGCTCTTTTTAACCGATGAGGTGATGCTTCTGCTCGAGGCGATATATTTCTCTTTAATTAATTGGAAGTGATATCTACATATTTCTTTCACCTTGCAATGCGTTATCACTGCATTATGTGTTTATCTTCTCGATAGCAGGTAGTTCTCCGTAGCTGAAATATTTCAGTAATGACTCACGTATGTACTTATGGGTGGCACGTATTTATTTGCTGATAAGATCAAAGTGTTGGAGTGTATTAAATCGTTATGAAGAAATAAAATGTCATGTGAGATGGGCTGTGGTATTGAGACATGAAATGTAACTGATACAGAGATACTGTATGAATGACTGTACACTCAGGGTTTGTTAAGAACTTGTTTCCATAAATAAGCCAGCTTGTCTTTATTCTTGTGCATTGAATATCTCTTTTTATTCCAAGTGGATTCTATTTGTGGTTTGTTGAAGTGGTCTTAGAGCATTGGTTGAGTTATATGCTGTCAAGACCTTACACACTCTGGTCCATTCTAGAAAAGAAGAGCCTTGTATTCTAGTCCCATTCATGGATGGGACCCCATTCATGGATGAGACTTGAATAGTTAAACTTTAAGTAGACCCTGTAGATAGAGGAAACTGTGTCCTTGCCAATTATTTGACTAAATGCTAAATGTGCTGGAAAGTCTGATACAACAGTAAGGTTATTTAGTCATAGGTTGGCTTGACTGTGTAAATCACATCATATTGAGTTTACATTGGAAAAACTCACCAAAAACACCATGAAGGCTAACAACATCCAACAACTCACTCCCAGAACCAATAACACAACCAATACAAGGAATTACGTTGCTATCTTGTAGGAAGAATCCTTTAAAAATATTAGTGTATCTCTTGTTTTATTTTATGTCATTCATCACCAGTGAGGAGTCTTCAGGCTCCAGCTTTCGCATACAGGATGACGGCACTTGTCAACTGTATCAACCAAACAGCAGGTAACAATAAAACCCATGACAACCTTACTCAACCCAGAATCAAATGTACTACACATTTTTAATTGATAAACGCAGGAAGTGAGAGAAATCAACTTATTCAATATTAACAGAGGAACTCAAAAACAGGGGAAACAAATGTTTTAATTTGACATAGTTTTACTAAAAAAGTCCTTGGTATACCTCAGTGTCATTCAAAAATTGAAACCTTTTTTTAATGGGGGATTCCAAAAAAGAAAACAACTTACCATGAATGTTTCTTTTCTTTTATTGAAGCCAAGAAGATGACATCAACTATGCTCTTCTTCAACTGCTTACTTCAGCTAATGCAGTAAGCCACACCCTCAGGAGACAAGAGTATACAACTTGACCCAGTGCCAGGACTTTACAGTGACATTTGATCTTTGACCTTTCTGAATAGAGTCATAAATATGTATTGCATTTCAAATCAAAAGTCCTTAATGAGAGGACTGTTACCAGTTATTTGCATTTTGATTGACCACCTTGTAAAATGATGATGATTCTCTGCTATTGTAATAACTTTTAACCAATACATGTACACAGTTTAAACCATGTACTGCTCCAACAACCTGTTTAAAGTTCAGTTGAAAATAAAAAAGTTCAAAGGAAAGAAGGCGTCTTGGTTGTGGTTTCATCCTTTTTTTTATATGACATTGTTGTCGCTGTTAATGTTCTCTCCGGTACTTTGATGTTTAAGAATCGTTCGTACAGTTTTTACCATATCTGGGGATGAGATGTCACGGTCGAAACCGTAAATTTGTGATATGCTTTTATTCCTACTTTGAAGGGATGAACTCATATTCTCGGCACCATGACCTTATGGTGCCTCCGTTTTGTCCACAAATGCCTCCTCAGGTTAATCTGAAGGTGTTTGAAAAAGCAACTGCCCCTAATTTCTGTCACAAATATTGTAGAGGTGTCGCTTAATATTCACTGAATGCCCATGGGCGGTAGAAAATGTTCTGGTCATTTCGCAAGTTCAAGAGACAAAAGCCCGTCATGCTTATGTTCACTTGTCTGCGGTTTGACATTGTCGGTGTTCTGACTGAAATCTGTAGTGTGGCATTCACTGAATGGTGTAGAGGTAGGCATCAAATTAATTATGTGTGCGTGTAGTGCCTCAACTTTTCAAAATTGGTCATACGTTTTTTTTCAGTGGTCACGCAAAGCTCCTGATAAGAATTCAGCTCGTGGTTTATGCGGACCCGTCGGGATGGAAATTATAATAAAGCTTTCGCATGCCCCCGTAGTTCAAAACGGGGGACGTGGGAGAGAGAGAACGGTACGTTGACTACATGGACGAAGGCGTTGAGAGTCATTTATCGTCCGTCTATCAACAACTTTTATTCAAAGTTTTATTCAAAATCAAATGTAAGATTTCTGTTTCCAAGTCCATCGTGAAGAGAATGGTACCCTGATCATAGGTTTCTTGTACTATTCTTGTTTGAGTTTCAAGTGCGCCCAAATTCACTGCTCACTGATTGTGGTAACTTTGTTCAGATCTTCGGCGTGTCAAGCGCATGTACCCGTACTTGACTTGCAGAAATACAAAACGACGGTTACGTAGGTTTGCATCTAGGTGAGATTATCCCACCTATTATTAGTTAATTTCAAATTGGAGACTTGTCCTTCTATAGAGGGTTTGTCTGTCATCTTGTAGGGTAGTGGTTTTGCTCCAAAGGGTATGCACAAATACGAGGTTTCTCTGTGGAACAAAAGAACCTACTCCACAAGATGGCTACCACGTAAAGCCTCTATTCATGCGTCGAATACTCTTGGCATTTCCCAAATTCCCTGTCCTCTCCTGTGGAAGTTAAGGAAAATTTTAACAAAAATGGCCCAGGAATCATGAGTGGCTTGAATTGACAGGCTTTTGGGTCATGGTGTTGAAGTATACTTTTGTCATGCCAGCTTGGAGTGGGTTGTTCTCGTTATTTGTAATGTCCTTTTGTTTAGTCCAGTGATTTTTAGGTTGTTGAATATTGTCCTACCAGTACCTGTTCTGAATGGCCGAATAAATAACAATAATAATAATTATGGTTGTCGGCGCGGCCTCAACTTTCTTGATGAAAAAACTTCAAATCTATCTGTGTTACTCAACAAAGAGAAATCGTGAAAAGGGCGTGATTTTGATTTCAGAGGATTTTCAGGATTGGATCTTGTCGGGGGGGGGCTTTTTGCAACTTCTGTCATTATTCTTGATTTTATAAAAAATCGGCTCTCATCAGTTACTTTAAGTACCCAATAAACAGTACTTATACCTTCCAATTCAGCTTTGGAACTCCATGAGCTCATAAAATAAAACATGATTTAAGTTTTTTTCCCAACAATTTCGTCGAGCGTATTAAGATTGTGTTATCGTCAATACCTTACTTTGAAAAATACCAGGAGTTTATGTGGTCAAAAAGATATTACGCGTATTCACTGAGTTTTTTCATTTTTCGGTTTACTTTGTTCCTAGCAAGTTTTAACAATTTGGTTATAAAACCCCCTTTATCTCCAGTTACAAGTTCGTATACTAAAATATGTTTACATTTAAACATTTTAGTTTACTTCCTTGGTGAAATTTTATACCAAAATCATGCAGTACAAGTGTGTACATTTTATTCAATATCAAGGGAGCTTCGGGTTTTTGACAATGTGCATCCTGCATACATAATGAAAATATCAACTGGCTAGTTAAATAGATTATCTCTAGTCCAATCAGCGTGGGGTTTTGGTTGCGCTGTCACTGACGTCACGATTGTATGTAAATATCTGTGTGACATGCACGCGCGTGCGTGCTACGCATAGTGCACTGTGTATGCGGTTCAATTCATGGCATGGCAGTATACGTACCGTGTGGCGCTAGCGCTATGCCATTAAGTGATATATCGTGCATAAAAATGGTGGCCAGCTGAAACTGAACACGGTACCGCAAAGTTGTCCGACCCCCTTCCGCTAGTTCTGCTTTCTGTCATTTGATGATCCACTCTCCACACCATTGGCAGACCTCCACTGAATGCTGTAAAGCCTGGAAATTATAATCATGGCTGAGATTGATCCCGATTTCGACGAGCCACAATCCCGTCCACGTTCCTGTACTTGGCCGCTCCGGAGACCGGACTTTCTGAAGAAGCCGTCCCAGCAACAGCAGCCGTCGTCCGGGGAAGGCACGCCCGCTGCTGTAGCCGAGGAGATCCAGGACACGGCGCTGCCCGTGCAACAGGTCGAAAGCCCTGACATCAAGCAGGATTTGGCAGCCGTCGCTACCAACAGAAAGAACTGTTCGAGGAGAAATGCATGGGGAAACTTGTCTTACGCAGACTTGATCACCAAAGCAATCCAGAGTGCTCCAGAACAGAGGCTGACTCTATCACAAATTTATGACTGGATGGTGAAGAATGTTCCCTTCTTCAAAGACAAGGGCGATAGCAACAGTTCAGCAGGATGGAAAGTAAGTTTTTTACAATACATTAAGCCGCTCACTGTCAAGTGGCATACGGTTTATGGATTAATTACTTTCCATTGACTTCTGCAATGAATTGTGGCATCTCCTGAATAAACTTATATGGGGGGAGACTTGAATATAATTTAAATAGGCCTAAAGATGTAAAACTTCTCAGTTTCTACCTTTCATGGTTGAATAACGTTGTATCCCTACATGCCCAAAGCACCAGGTGTTTGGGTGTATTACTAATTTCATTTGAGATTTTCTGTGAAATTCAATTAGGCCTGCCTCAAAAGTTGACCAACAGAAACATTTTTTTTAAGTCCCGTATTTTTCATTTTGCCATCATAGCCTTGCAAAGTGTTCCATAAAAATTACATTAAATCTGTGCTAAGTTTTTACCCCTACCAGAGCTGTGGAGGGAAAGAGTTCCATCTGGTGCCAGTAATTATTCTCTTCAGTGACCTATTAGCCATCAGTAAGCAAAAATATATAAAGAAAAGTTCAATTTTGGAGAAAGAATACTGAGTCGATAACTTAGAAAACACTTGGAATTTTTCAAACCAGTTTCAAAGGGTTTATGCATGGGGTGTCAAGTGGCGTCTTGCATATGAAACTCTTTCTATATGGAGCTCCTGGTTTGCCTCTCCAAGATGCACAGTGACAAGCCCCATAGTTTCAGGGGGTACTAAAAGCTATAAATGATATCTCATTTTTTCATTTGCACCTGCCATACATCTTGTCTGAAGTTTTACTTGTGAGAAAACAGACATGGTGTCTGCGACTTTCAACATATTCTCTGTGACAGTCAGTTTGAATTCATTAGTCATACATGTCCATGCGACAGGGCTACCCACCATCTTTCTAGTGTTGGAGCATACCCCTATGTGCTAATGCTGTGTTAGTTCAGAAGTTTATTTTATAATTTGAAGTTTTGAAGTCTGGCTACTGTGTTGTTCAAGACTTTTTTCAAGACTGTACTTTTCTGGTATTTTCCGGTTGGTTAAATCTGTTGTCTCCAGATTGTTATCATTCCTTGAACTACAGCAAACCAATGTCTTTTCCGTCTATACTGCTTTTGCACTGGATGCTTATCGCGCCGGATCCCGTTATAGCAAATGGGAAGTGACACCACAGGAACAAGTCTTCTTCATGATGTCACGGAAAAACTGATCCATTAGACCATTTAAATTCACTTCCCGAAAGGGTTCAACACATTAGTCAGAAATCCCACTATCCTGTGTGCAACGCTGGGCCAGGCCTTTTGATCGCTGATAGTCATTTGGTAATGGTAGAGACTCAGTGAGTGGGCTTAAATATAGTTGTGCTTGGATTGTACATGTTTAGAGGTCAGGAGGTCAGGTTGGCATGATGGCTTTCATGACTTCACATCACACATGATGACTGTGAATAGCCCCTGGTTCTAACTTTCATTTTGGTCACAGTTTACCTGGGCTGTTTTTACTCATGGCTGAAGATTCTCGGAATGAATCTCAGTTGCCAGTCCTGTGAAAGGTGCGGAAAGGATTTATAAGTTCTCCTTCCTGAGATGTGCACATTATAGATTCTGACTTGAAGTTGTTCTTATAACTCATTAGAAACTGAATACATGTAGATTAACACAGTTTTGAGAATCATATTTCCCACTGTTTACTCTTTTAAATTGTATTTAGCCTTCATGTTTGCACGCAACAGCCAAAATTGACAGCCATCTGTCGCAGTATCAGACCATATGACACTCAGAAAATGTGCATCTTTGCAATGTGATCCTGTAGGACTTACAGTATTGTTTCACAATGCTGAGGCAGAATGTTGATTGTCAGAGATACAGTTCTTTAAGAAGAAAATTTAAACTGCTCAGTCAACAAATGGACACATGTCAAGATGATGAATTAATCATTCAGTGTACATGTTGCTCAAATAAACTGTTACAGACCATTAGTACTTCAACATACATCTTTAGATAACCTTTTATCTTACTGTGAAAGTGATTTACATGGTCAATCAATTTTTCAATTAACTTGTGAAGCCCACTTGTACATAATCACCCACTTGAAATAAGTGATTAAATGGATAATGTTCCTTCACAGAATAATAGTCAGCACTTTTTGTGATAGCAGACTGTAGCACAAAACAATCCTAATACTGCTCTGTCATCAGATGTAAAATGTACATGTACAGGTTTGCCCCCCCATTTTTCAGAGTTTGCAATTTATGTAATAATAAGTTGCATTTCAGTCTATATTTATGTACATACGGTACATGTACATGAAGCCTCAGGTTCCATATCCTGGCGTAGACTGGGAAAGCTTCTTTTTTTGGGTGCAAGTACGAGTAGAGAATAGCAATTGGAGATTGTGTCCAGCTCATGGACAGTGTCCATTAGACTCAATTCCAGTGATCCCTAAACCTGATTTGTCATTTTTGATTCAACATATATTTTAAGCTAGCTCCACAAAGGCTGGCACTCTCCCAAATGACTAGGAAAGATTTCCTTTTTTCTTACATGTACATCATTAACAAACATCAATCAGTATCCAAGTCTTGCTTTAAGATTTACTGTAAGTCTTTCCAAAAATAGAAGGTGCCTGAAGCAGTCCTCTTCCCTCAGAATCACCCACGTAAATTTTTCAGAAGAAAATAAAAAATTTATGGCTTTGGAACTCAGCTCCTATATTTTATGTATCAGTGGTTTGTATTAACTGTAAGTTAAACATAATCAGATTGAAGATTTACATGTTATGTATGTACTAAAACTTTAAGTTCTTGGAGGTGTGTACAAACGAATGATTTGTAGTTGTCATTGATTTAAATGCTGAAAGGCAGTGTGAAATTTCTCAGGAATCATTTAATGTAATATAATTTCTACATGTATCTGAGAAATGTAAAGGAACTACATAAGGAAGTTAGTTCTTCTTAACCCACTCTCCCATGTGGTTTCATTTCAGTGCTTAATTTCTGAGCATTCTCCAGATTAATTCATCCAGATGTGTTACGAACTTGTTCGGCAAGCCAATGAAAATTGATGAAACATTTACTTTTGCATATCAAATTTACAAAGCTTTGCCAAATGATTTCTTTTACATGTATAGCCTAAAAGTTTTTTAAACATTTGCAATTTATGGATACATGCAGAGCTTTCATACAGAATATAATTCCCTGTTACAAAAATATCTATAATTTGATTTTGCAAACAAGTGCTTGGCATTCAACTTTGGACCTAGAGTGGTACGTACCATGACAAAGATTTAAATAAACTGGTAAGAACAAAGCAGAACCGTAAAATCATTGTCCAAAATGTACAGGTATTGTGTGCTTTTCTGCTGAGGACAACCTGGTGTGTGATCAGTGCACTGTGTTGCGTGTGGTTAAGTAATTGATGTTTAGGGAATTTATCGACCATGCTTCTTTTTCCTAAGGCAGGCAACTCATGTATTCTCATAAATTAAGAATAAGATATTTAGGATTGAAAAGGATTAACCAACATTGATGTTTTACAAGATAAAAACATATTACCCTACTTTTGATAGTGTAGCAAGTAAACAATATAACCATGACATCATTCAATTTTACAGACACTATTAAACGGTGACATAAGCTTTCCTCCTCTCTTAAAATTTAATTACCTCCTTGTACAATGTAATGGTACTGTTGTCAACATTCAAGTACATGTACATGTAACATACTAGTACATCGGTACAGCCAGTACATGCGCTGATAGATTTAAAGTCGCGCTCAATATATTTTAATAGGTAGGCTTTTCCTTTCTTGATGGACAAGTACAAAGAAGGCTAACTGGTACCGGTATCTATAATTAGAAAAAGTTGGCAGTGCTTACGCATGTGCTTATTTGAATTGCAGGCAGTGAAAGTAATCAGGTACACATTTGAACCGTAGAGCCATGTACATGAACATGTATGTAGGAAATTGCATGACCTCATGTTGAACATTCATTATATGAGCACCATTCGTGGAGTCTGGTTGCCTAACTTTTCTTACAGTACATTCACTTTGGTGTGTGTAGGTGAGTTTAGTCACGGTTCACCTTGCGTAGGAGGATTAATAATGAATGCAGCTTCCAATTCCAGTGCATGTTGGTCTATCATGCAGTGCATAAAATAAGGTATCCAGTTTCATCAGAATCAGAAGTGGATACAAAAGAGTACCCTGTGTGTATATTTATTGAGTATCAATGTTGGCATCCAATCAATAGAAAGCCTTAGTTTATAAACCATTTGAAACATATACCTCCTCAAAATCTAGAAGTCATGAAGGATTGAAATTCTTCCATTCACTGAAGAAAATATATTTCTGCATATGTACAGTACATGTGTAGGGAGTACATGTACATTTGTACATAAATATCCAGAAAAAACATTACATTTACATGTATGTGTACATTTTTATATGTCAGTTAAATACAAGGAAATGTTTGCTTCTGGTTCAGTTTAAAAACCCCAGAGAATACAAGAGGAAACATTGGTGAACTGTGCCAAGCAGAGATTTAACTCATTTAAGATGGAAACCTTAATATTACCTTTTCCTCATGGTTGACCTGGATGCCAAATAGGGGAGCTGAACAGGGAATTTTTTAATGTTACATGTACATGGATGTGAATCACATTTATGCTTACATTTATGTACATGTAGATGTGACTACCGGTGTGAACAGTGGTGACAGCAGAAATTTATATTCATGAATGTGAGCCCCTTCCTACATGTACATGTATACCTACCATAGTTGCTGGTATGTGGATGTGCACTGTATTGGCAGTAGTGGAACTTTTTAAGAAATACGTGGTGTTTGTTTTGTAAACCTTAATTTTAGAATAACATTAAAATTCAAAACGGAAAGAGTGAAATTACAAAAAACTTTCCAAAAAAGTCCAAACTGCCAGTCTTTATCTCGTTACATGCACACATGGGTACATGAACGCCAGTCATGCAGATATTTTTGTGTGGTCCGGCACGTTATTCCCTCCAGTAATTTTAGTTGTGCATGTTTT